TCGCGCAGCTCCAAGCGACTTCACCGAGAAATGAGCTGTCAATTCTTTGTAAATTCCATCAGCCTCTGCATTCGACTTGCATCCGATGAGAATATCATCCACATACAGCACTATGTACGAAAGTGACTTGACTTTAGTACTGGGACGTCGAACAAAAAGACAAGTGTCCGCACGACATTGTTCAACGCCTAAAGTAACGAATACAGAGCATATCTTCTTGTACCAAACTGCTGCGGCTTGTTTTAAGCCATACAAACTTCGTCTTAGCTTGCAAACCGATCCAGACGTGAATTTTATCCCTGGTGGTGGCTCCATGTAAACGTCTTCTTCCAAGTCTCCATTTAGAAAGGCTGTTTCCACATCAAATTGTCGTATCACATATTTCATACTTGTGCCCAAAAACCCACTTGTTTCCAATAACCTTGACACCAGACGGGCGGCGAACAACATCCCATGTGTGATTGCGTTCATGAGCTTGAATCTCGGTCAGAATTGCTGCTTTCCATTGCTTTGACTCTGATGACTGTATTGCCTCGTTGTAAGTCGTGGGTACAACAGTGGCAGAAAGCGAAATTTCGAAATCGTCCATACATTGACGTTTAGCTTCAGGCTCGACTACGTCAGCATCATCCTCATTATCCGCTACATGTCCATCTGTCAAGAGTGGTAAATTTCCACGACCATGTCCAGAATTATCACTTTTAAGCAAACGAGGGTACGAATCGTCACTTAAACGTCTTTTACTCGACCCAGTGTATACCTCAAGTCTGTCCTCCTGGTTGTACTGCTCCTCACGCGGTACAATTGCATTTGAACGATCGCAAATGTCTTGTAGCATGTGCGTGCGCTGATGACCCTTCTCATCAACGCCTCCACTTAGTGTGCGCAATTTTCTAATTGTTTCACCTGTCCGCTCATCTGTACGCTCCCCTTCAATCGGAACAATCTCCAAATTTTCCGACCTGTTGTCCTCGCCATAGGCATCCACAACCATGTCTTCCCAGCTAGGGCCAACATCATCTGCTCCATCAACTGCCATGTCTTCCGCATCATGAGAATCCGCTGAAATGGGTACATTTACCGCATTTTCGTCTCTTTCTTCGTGCTGTTGTGTGATTTTGACACAATTTTCACTCACAACAATATTCTTGTATCGTGAAGGAGGCCTTTCGTCCAGTGTGACAGAACGAGTCACTACCAACTGTTCTCGATCCACATCCCACACACGGTACGCCTTTGATGTCTCCGAGTAACCCAGAAAAATGCACTTGTTAGCCTTGTTGTCCCATTTGGTCCGCTTGCAATCCGCTACTCGTGTATAACCAGTAGATCCAAACACACGAAAGTAACTTAAGTCAGGTTTCGAACCATTCATCACTTCAAATGAACTCTTGTTGGGACGCGCTGTGTTCGGAATTCGGTTTAGTGTGTGCGCAGCTGTCATAACAGCTTCACCCCACCACATTATATCCACCTCCATATGGCTCAACATCGAACATGCCATTTCAGCAAGCGTTCTATTCATTCTCTCAGCCAATCCATTTTGCTGTGGAGTATATGACACGCTTGTTTGGTGTATGATACCATGATTCACATAGTACTTGTTGAACCGGTAACTTGTAAACTCACCACCATTGTCACTTCTGATGCACTTGATCTTGCGATCCGTTTGTGTCTCCACCATCACGCGAAAGTCCTGAAAACGTTCGAACACTTGTGACTTCGCAGCGAGTAAGTACACATAGACGAATCGGCTATAGTCGTCGATAAATGTGAGGACATAAAGGGCACCACCTTTTGATTTCGGGTTCATCGGACCCATGAGATCAGTATGAACAATCTCAAGTGGTTGACTTGTTTTGACTGTACTCCCTGAGGTATGACGAAACGGACTGTTCGTCATTTTTCCACGTGAACACCCATCGCAAACACCGTCTTCAGTTGCCGACAATTTCGTAATACCGTCGCACGCCTTCATTACTTGATTAAGCTTGCTTGTCGATACGTGACCAAGGCGAGCATGCCACGGTCCACTTTCATCATCTTCTTTGGTCGTGCTCTCGGCTTTGTACGCCTTCAATACCACATCCTGCTTCACATTCCACGCAAACAATTTTCCCACTCGATTAATCACTGCTACCGTAATCCCATTGGATGTTAGGACTGCTTGATTACGCTTGAACTGCACAAGCACACCTCCTGATGTCAGTGCTGGTACAGATACAAGCTTCTTGTCCAATTTAGGCACATGAAGAACTTTCTTCAGCATAACTGTGCGGCCATTTTCCAGTACAAATCGCACCGACCCCGTTCCTTTCGCCATCAGATGCTGTCCATTAGCAACTGTGATGCTAATTGGGGTAGTCAGATTTTCATACTCCACAAAATCACGCTCGTCATCAGTCATGTGACGGCTTGCACCACTATCCAGCAGCCAAGTTGCACTTGACTTCAATTTCTCGCTTGATGCTGAGAAAACAAATTCATCGCCAGATCTTGACTGTTTCACGCTGTGACACTGCGACCTCTTGTGACCATGTTTTCCACAAGTAAAACACTTGCCTTGAAATCTTGCGTTGTCGTTCCTTCGACTGAAAGCTTGGTTTCGATATTTATCGTGTTGACGGCCATGGTGTCCTCGGTTTCCTTGAAAGCGCCGATTCACATTGGGTTGTGCGTGTGCTGTAAAAGCAGTTTCCTTCTTATCACGTTTCTGTAGCGTGTCATACTCCCGCCGGAGCATCTCTTTTGCGTCCAACAGCGTCACGTTGCTGTGCGCCTCAATTATGCGCACCATATCATCATATTCAGATGATAAGCTTCCCAAGAGAAGTACTAGCTTCTCATCAGCATCCATGCTGTCACCAGCAGCCATGAGCTTCAAACAAAGCTCATCAAACTTCAGTAGGTGGTCCATTAGACTCGTACCAGTTTCCATCACAAATTCATGTAGTTGTTTCCGAAGTTGCACCCGATTGTGGAGGTTCTTCTTCGCGAAGAATGTCTGCAATACCTCCCAAGCCTCAAGGGCTGTCTCACATTCCCGAACCATACACTGATAGGTGGGTGAGAGTAACTTTACCAGCACAGCCAGAGCCTTCATATCGGCGACTTTCCACTCGGGTAATTCCCGTAGCACTGCCGACTCTGGCTTCACCATTACATGATCCAATAGATCCTTGCGTGCAAGGGTCATGCGCGCGTTTAATTCCCACATGAAGTAGTTATCATCCGTAAGGATATCATTGGGGGCCAACGCATTTGGGCTCATAACCTATAACAACCAGACAACTACTTCTCAGTGCTTAAAAATGGAAAGTAGTATTAAGAGTTAAGACTACTGCTAAAATGCATATATAAATCCCCTCATAAAGTGATCGCTCATCCAGAATGTTCGAAGAGCCCTGTCCCTGCAAGTTGCCATAAACACGACACACAATTCATGTCGTGGTACGTAAACCTCAACAAATTTGAAGACAACGAAGCATGTATATCTCGCCTGATTAGTGCACCAAGGGTCTCGACGCGTAACGCTGCCATCAGGCGAGAGTAAATAATTAGTGCGGCATTGAGCACGTAAGTCGGATAAATTATGTGGCGGGTGCCAATAAAAGACGTAATGTCTAGAGTCTGTTGGCGATACTAAGACCTTCGTGCCAGCATTCACTGCTTCAACTCGAGTATTCCCAGTACTGGACATTTACTACGAACAGCAACAGTCTGTCCAAGTGATGATTAGACATATATTACCAGCTTGCCCTTGTCATCATCAGAACGTATTCGTCGTCGTCGGTTCGCCGATGGCTCAAGAAGATCTCAACTTCGCAATTGAAAATGAAGCAGCGTGATAAAAATTAGGCTCAGCGTGGTCCCGCTTGTAGATCCTCAAAAACCAGTCTTGCTGTCGACACCAATGCCGAATGATACCGCCGGTACCGAGATTCTTATGGCACAACGTGCTAACGAGGCACCTTGACCGAAGCAATGACGTCTACCTGTAGGCCACACGCATGAGCTTACACCAGGCTGAAACGATTAAACGACGCATGGACCATCACCAATAGCCTTTATTAGATTACAAATTGGCCTTCATTCCTTATTTCCTAGACGAGGCACCAGTAATGCCTGACGTCTTTTGAATTACACCCCGACGTCTGAAGTTGTCTGACTTCAAATGCCGAGCTCCAACAAGTGGTTTTCCCGAGTGAGCAAGACACAATGCCAGCTCGACGTCCAGCTTCCGACGTCTATCAACACTCTTTCATTTTGCATCCCCACTATACTACCGAGCCCATGCTAACGACCTGTCAGTACATTTTCCATTGTCAATGCCGTGTCGTTGCCAATGTGCTAAAACGTCAAACTGAACATCTCACTGGATCACCTGCCCGTTCATCGCACACTGGAGCAAACATCCAGCGCCTGCCAATCACGCCAATCAATATCGTCTGTAAATAGCTTGAGCTCTCATGCTTACATTAGGGTGTCCCAAGTACTCTTCGTATACGACTAATTCTTGCGCCTGACACGTCTGAGAGATAGTAAACACCGTGATCGCTTCCACAGCACGTTCCTTTCACTAGGTCTTCTTCAAGCGAGCAAGTCAAAGCATAGTTCTTTCTCCACATTATCCATCGTAGGCGCTTGAGTTACCGCCGACAACGCCCATTTTGTCAACCAATGCTGGAGCGTGTTTACAAGATTGTTCTTTCCGTTACTGATCCGAAGCCCCCCTTCTATTCATTATCACAAGTATACCAGCCATGATCGGCATTACCGAATACATGGGCATTTGGAAAAGGCTGAATGACACAACATCGAGCTGCAACGTCAAGTGGGATCGCAATCCTCGATTCTGCACGTGGATGTTCTCAAGATAGGAGGATTAATCGTTGTTGCATCAACTGACGACATTGTGCTGATCCCCAAGACGCTTTACCAACACGCAAACAGTCCATCTTGTAGTTGTGGTCCTCATCTATGTCCTCGTTCTTTCTCGGCTACGGCATTTCCGCGTAGTTCTCAGGGTCTTTATACAATTCCCGCAGCAATTCGTGGGTCAACGCGTGGCCCGGCCTTGAGGCATAGAAGTAGCCGTGCAGGGGGAGACCTGCAAGGCCAATGTCGCCAATGCAGTCAAGCATCTTGTGGCGTGTCCATTCATCAGGGAAGCGCAACCCTTCTAAATTTAAAACAATTGGTTTTGCGTCAGCTTGCTGTTTTTTCGAAAACACGACGGCATTGTCGAGTGATCCACCTAGCGCCAGTCCATTAGCATGTAGCCACTTGATTTCTTCTTCGAAAGTGAAAGTTCTGGCTGGTGCGATGTCACGATTAAATGCATCCATAGTCAACGTTGGATCTGGCCCCAAGGTGAATCGACACAACTTCGCATCCAATCGCTTGTGCTCAAAGTTCACTTGCACCGACATGTGCAAAGTCGGAGCTCGTCCGTTGTTTGGCGTTGGAAGGAAGCACGCATTTTTGTCTTGTTTAAAAACGTGAACTGGCCGTTTGACGCATAGATACTTGAGTTCAGCGCCCTCTTGCTCCTCGATACCGACATGTTGAATTCCCTTCATAAATTTGACACTGCTCCCATCCAGCACTGGGACTTCGGACTTAGAATATGGACTTTGATTGTTTTCAAAGTCCACGAAAGCATTTGTAATTCGAGACGCCACGAGGGCTGCCATTAGATGCTCAGGAGTTGACACACTCCATCCATTGGCTGTAAGCTTTGTACATAACTGACTATTGGAAGCACTTACATTCGCGATGAGTGCTGGTATTGTAGATCTCTCTGAGCCATTCTGGCGGAAGACAATACCCGAATTCGCAGGCGCTGGGATAACACAAATCGACACTTGCTCGCCCGTATGCAGGCCAACACCTTCAAAGCGTAGCAGCTTCCTGAGCGTCCGTTGCCAATGACGCATTGCAGGAGAGTTAGCAAGCACGCCAAGCGCCTTCATCCAGTCGATCAGTTGGGAACGGGGTGTAATCGCGACCCGAAGGGTGAAGCTATTTGTGAGTGTGCGCAAGGTTGAATATCGAACTTTAAATCGTACGTATCTTTGTGTCCGAGTGTGTCTGTCTGTAAATAACGCAGTTAGGTGTACCCTACCTGTACTAAGTATGATCTAGCCTGTCCCCCCTCATGGGCCGATTCGCATGATCGGTGTCACTCTACGGCAAGGTCAATATTGTGATGCACGCATATGATTGGCTTAAAATCGATCAAAGGTGGATATGATCACATAAGCAAATGCCGGACGCTCATAAGCACAGGTCGATCGCGTTGCTTGAGTATGCTGTACTGGGTTAATACCGACATTAGTAGCATCACGCTCATTCTTCAGTGTCTGCTGCTGTATCGTGTTTTGCAACTCGATTCAATTCTCCGAACTGATTACTTATATTAAGGTGCGAGCTCCAGAGCGCACTCTCCTATCTTAAACTATCGTGCTTTCTATATCAATTCTCTGCGGAGGCTCGAACGTCAGGCAGCAACCTACACAAGCCAACTATTTTGTGAAAAAAATAAGGCCTCCCCTACCAGTTACCGAAAATGTAACGGGGTGAGCCCGTTACATGTTAGCAACTTTGATACTTATTAGTTATAATTCTATTATAAAGGTTGATAATGCTCGTGAATATTACCATAAGGGGCAACATTCAGAAACACTCACCGATTGGCTGATATGGGCCATCATGTCAGCCAGCTCTAGCGGTCCAGTCAGCGATGGACACGCGCAATGAGTGGTGAGCAAGACTTTAGTATACACTCTTGTAAAAAATATGATTAAGTTAGGACTTAACATGGGCACATGTATTGAGGACTTGGTTATATTTTACACAGTTTTACTTTCTACCCCTATTGAACGCGTCGTTCAATTGCTAGCCTTTCTCAATACGTGCAGTGGTACGTGAAGTGACGCACGGCACTACCTACACTGATGTCGGACTTTTAAGAGATTGTAATTCCAATGATTTTCAGCCAATACATTGTGTGTACATTTTAGTATGTCCTCACAAAGTGTTGAGAGGTACTTGTACTACAATTGGGAAAAGCACTAGATCAGGAAAAGTGGCAAGCTGGAGGTACTAGTACTGGGAAAATCATATTCAAACGATGTCAGAATATTGAAAGTTGAATAAAATGCTCATTTTTATCAGTTAGCAATGTTCCTGCATTAGCAGAAGACTAGAAAAGGATGCGGTTCCTTAAAATGATAAACTTGTAGTTGCATGGACGAAAAGCTACCTGTATCTTGGAAATACGTCGGCTTCTTGGGTAGTAGGCGCGCATGCAGTTCTGAAAAGGTACCTCTAGGTCAGTAGACGAGACCTTTATGGGGTTTAAGAGCGTTCATCAGCTTTTCGTGCGCCAGGTCGCTGTTTATACGAAGCAATTGATGCAATACAGAAAATGCGCACCCGGACCATTTCCGTGCTGTACCTGCCTATGCAAAAGTAGTTGACCAAGTAACTCACCATGCGTTCCATTTTATTATGATGCATTTCACTTCTCCATAAAGCCACCGATGCATCAAGTAAATTATTTTCTTATCAGGATACTATCTTGGTTATTATAAATATAGTATCCCGATAAGAAAAGAATTTACTGTGATGTGTGCACTGATCGGAAGAGATGGCTGAAGCAGAGACGATTGCACTAAACGCAATATTTTTCCATTGGTACTTGTTCTCCAATCAAGCGTTAAAAAGCCTGGTCGCTCCCCGCAGGTAACCTCTACACTTTACAAGAAGAGCTTCAGAACGTAGAAAGGGTGTAAGCAACGTGGCCTGCAAACATGCAAGCATCTGCACGAATTTGTGTTCAATTTTAGCACTGGTAACACGTCTGACCTTGCCGGTCCTCTTTCCGAAGATCCTAAGGGTTGAATGTGTAATTGTTGAAACAAAGCGCTATCATCGACGAGACGTGACCCCTCTGCGTTGAAATTGCAAATTAAAGACTTTGATGCTGTAGCCAATGTAAATAAGCAAATTGAAATGATGTTGCATCAACTGTAGTTTAGCCATTCACAACAATCTCAACTTGCCTGGCAAGGTTGTCCGATCCAACCCTGTGGAACGTTTTTGGTAATGTAAGTAATTTTCGTGTCTGCTCCTACCACATTAAACCCCTACATGTGATTACTAATGTCTTTGCCACATCCACTGGAAATTGCTAAAGAATGCTATCAGTATCTTGTGATAGGGAGAAGACTTAGGGCATCAAGGAGTAGATAATGCATTCGAGGCCTTTAGAAAGAATAAACATTAAAAATAGCATAAAAAATTAAGGTGTCAATCTCGTGCACTAAATGTGTATGCTTAGACAGGGGTCAGAACATGTGATTTTGTGTGCATGATTATTGATTTGAGACCTGGATAACAATGTAACACACGTGCTCTATTGCATAAAAACACTATTAAGAAGCGTATGTTGTCTCGTACGAGAGCACTAGTTACTCTTTGTTATGGGGCTGATTACCGCGTGCAAGGTAGTGGCAAAATAAGTTGTCTTCATAGACTTGTTCATCTTCATATTAGCCACCATGTTGCTGCGTACAACGCTAAGTCTATCTTGGCGTGCGAAATGATAAACCTGAACACGCATGCATGCAGTTCTGCAAAGAGTGCAGCCGAGAGTCTATCGTCATTGGTGAGAAATTATCCATACCTTATTCGACAAAGTACATTACTTTATTCATGACCATATTCTTTTTCTTAAAACCATTTTGAGGAGTCTCATAGAGAGCTGCTACCTCCTCCATATGTAGCTACGCTTATCGCGTGATCGTCATGAACAGCTGATACAAACGTTTAAAGAGAGCTGCTTCTTATTTGGAGTTGTGAAAATAGCGGAAAATATAAGGGACAAATAGAGAAAAAAATGGGTGGTGGAAATTTAGGTTTTTCTTAGTCGGGTTTGGACAGGGCAGTACAGGCTATTTTACCAAACCTTGTGGGTGATGCTAAAACCCGTCAATTGAAGTGGAACAACGGGTATCGTCTGTGGTTACATGGAAAATATGTGCGTAAAATGTATTAATCCGATTTAGTGAGGCACCGATCCACCGGTTGCTCTGACATTGTCAAGAATAAACATCAGCTAGCTCCATGCAAAATCTGAAGCTTATTTGCTGCAAAAGCTGTTGGGAGAAATGGGTTACTGGGCTGATAGTGCATAATAAGGAACGAATCATGCATATTTAGAATATATTGCAGGATGTGTTGCTCTTCGCAAAAGTACCGGCAAGTTACAAATTTAACCAAAATCGGCAGGAATGATACTGACTGCTTTCTCGATGCCCAAATTCTATTTCACCATACATCTCACCGGAATCCGAAAAGGCGATCTGGATTCTGTTTAAAAGCAGTTTCTCCTGTCTTAGATATTCGCCTACATGAGGTTATTCGCACGGCATGCGGAAGAACGCAACTAAAAATGTCGCCTTCAGTCCTTCATCTCATCAATTCTGATCAGAGCATCGTTGCACACTCGAATTTATCGAATACATAGCCCCTCGAACTCTGGGCAACAATCGTGCAAATGCGGATAAATATTCTGAAATTATTATACGTAGTGCAAAGGTAAATGAAGGCCCCGTAGCCATGAAAACGGCAAGGCCAAGGCCATTTAACAGCCTATTGAGTATTGTGTCATCCATAAGCAGCATGTTAAAAAAGCCTGTGGCCGATAAAAGAAAGCGAATTGATGGTAAAAAGGACGTGGTTAGAACAGTATTGCTCTGTTTTCAGAGGATGCACCTGACCGATTGCTACAAAGCTGTTTGATGATCATGCGCTTGCCTAATCGTGCCGAGTAATGAATGGAATAAGCGATCAAAGGCACTCGTGAATACGCTAAAATAAGACGATAATTATCACGAGGAGTTAAAATACATGTGCAAGTACCTCTTTTGGATACGCGAGCTATCTCAGTGCCATTTATTGCTTCATACGTTACTTATTAGGTCCCGACGCCGTTAATTATATTAATTTCAACACGGAACATCCTCGAGCGCGACTGAGAGCTCTTCTATAGTCGGATTGACACAGATTAGAAGTACCTGGCGATCCCGGTGGGTAACGCTATATGATAAAATGTATTCGGAGACCACTGCAGTCGAATTAGTTGATAAAACGTTACTTGCGCTGGGTACATATGGATACGACTGTACCCAAAAGGTTGACCTACCTTCGCCTGAACAATCTGAGTAACCAAGAGTGTATGACACAACAAAGCAAACTCTTTGTACAATGAATGCTGGTGTATATGACATGGTCGTCGACAAGCGACTTTTTTTTGGTCGTGTCGCTTTTGAAAATGGAACTACACCGTTAGGTCGCTTTAGTCTGCAAAACGTTACTCGTACATCTAAATGCAAATAATTTACAGGTCTTTATCATCTTAGACTATCATAATAAGAGTAGTACACACGCCCTCATGACATTAACAATGATATTTGGTACGAGGAATTGCATAGAATGTCAATAACATGCCAGCGAGCATTATGGACGCCGATTGTTTAATCTTCATTCTCACGCTCTCCTTCTTGCAAACCGTTATTTATTGCGCACTTTCCTTTAATTTATCGGAATTTTCGATTATAATTTGGCCAAATTGGTTTATACACCACCTGCAAGAAAATATCCAGTACGGTTTGTATGTACTCAACAAACTCTACGCTAGGGATTTGTTACTGGACGATATTGAAAACCAGGCGACGTTTTGATGATGTTCATGACGTTTAGAAAGATAGAAAGCCAAAGCTGGTGTGTCAAAACTGGTCTTTATCAACGATGGCCTCAATAACCATTGTCAGCTTAAACATTTTCCTTGTAGCTGTGTTCACCAAGGACTGCAGGACACTTTTTTACCGTCAGTGCGTGCAATCGATTTAAAACACGCATGCCAGTACATCCGCGTACTTGCGAAGTTAGAAAAAAATCAAATTAAGTCGTTCTCACTCAGATGTATCATGTTATCATTGCTGAGCAGGTCTATGATAAATTTCTAGAATATCGAGTCGCTTACAGAATGGTCGACCCGCTCATTTCTATATTCTGGTCAAGGCTACTTGCAGAGATGCCATATTGCTGCACACGTAGAGTGTATGTCCCCGTAAAGGGCAACGAGATTCCTAATTTTCCACTCGCATCGACCTCTTATGGAAACAGACCTTTTCGATGTTACGGTATCATGCATGCGTTGATGCAGGCGCAATGATATTCGGAAACAGTGACAAACAGAATGGTTATTTCACGGAGGCGATATATTAAAGTATTCGTCGTAAAGTCATTGGTGAAGAAGATATAAATCGCGATTGCTATGTGGTGTACATCTTTGTAAAGATCTACCAGAAACATTTTGACCACTTGCAAAAAGCGATTGCTGCAAAGTTATGATTCTATTAATGACAAGATTCAACGTTGCATACTCATCGCCATAATCGTCGTCATTTTTCATACTTTCATCAGGGCTGCCATCGCTAGAATACGAGCACGGTATAGAGACTACCTTGAGCCAGCCTCTGGTGCGCTTCAACGTCACGCACCTTCATTTTAAATTTTAAAACAACTTTGCACGATACGGCTGTACGATACTTGCATTTTTTAAGTTGCCATGGATAATCATCACATTTTGCGAGAATACTGTTTCATTTCATCCTTTCAACGACTAGAATCCTTGGTGCGCTTCAAAGCGATGACAGAGAAGTTCTCAAGATAGTTAGTAGGATTCATGACAACACCGAGATTTTTGTTTGGTACACAAATTCGATATGTATAAAAACAACAGCGTGCGTCAACGATGCCCAATGCTAGCAAGTGAATTTAGACCTTCGGACATATATCCTCGGGATTGGATATATGTTATTCGGTCCTTCCTACAAATTACACTTCTGCGCTGAGATTGCTCACCGCGACATATCGATTATGGTTGGCTGCCACATGCCATAATGTATACGATGTATGCTCTACAGTGATTTTCAACTCAGGGTGTTAAAAAACACAATATGATTCGCAAAAATGTCTAAATCGTATCGGCATTGCTACTTGCGTTTATGACACGATTGCGCAACAACGGTGGTAATTTAGGGATGTCATTGCGCTCTACATGATTTCCCAACAACGATAAAGATAGACTTGACTAATGGTGATGTTTGTTTCTCTTTTATATTGACGCACCTGATTGTTCAATATAAAACCCAGAGGAAACTTGGTCTCGCCATCCATACAAAAGAATATTGTCTTGTAGTCATCAGAAGATGTATACCTTACAAGGACAAGCTTCATCAACAGCGAAAAAAGATAACGCAACGAAGTCTCGGTTTAACCGGACAAGCACGTCGCCGATCCGCTAGCATAAACATCGTGATCCCTTTTTATTAGTCAGTGCATTGCTATTTATACGAAAACGGAGCTTCAAATTATTTTGCTATTTTCTCGTGTAACTTATTGCGTGTTAGTATTCTGTATTTAAGGCGTATCTTATCGATAAATGTTTTTTTAAAAAAGTATAGGATTTCATTGACAGCTTCATATCACACACACCTCTGCGAATTTATATTCTCAATGTATCCAAGTTTAGAAGTTAGTAAGGATTATGATTTATTATACTTAGTTACGTAAAGCATACAGCACTATAGTTATGTCAATTCTTGAAAATTGAAATCCTCCACCAGAACCACCCAGTCCGCTTTAATCTTAACAACAAACTCCCTTCAATCAGTAGAAAAAAGGCCGAGAGAACTAAAGACCGCCAACACAGGTTCTTACCTTCGATTACAAAAGTATCTGATGATGTGATTTAATGTCACTGACTTGTAAAAACGTTGGTCTTTTGCTGAGGTTGGTAGTCTATGTAAACAACACAGATACATGTTTTGTAATAAACTGAAAAAGGAATATTGAAGCAAACACCCTTACTCTCTTAATCTATATCTATCTGTGACGCATCAAACGTATACCGAATTTTGGGCTGCTATAGCTAGCGGCTGTTAAACGCGTCTAACAGACAAAGGAGAGGCCCCGTCATGTTGGTTATTATGGAGAAAATTCTTTCACTTCACATTTTTTGGAAATCAATAGGTACACATTCACCCTATGATGCGAACACGCCCACCCAAACTGTGTAAATAATCGTTTGCCACACATTGTAGCGTGAATGCATAAAAATATACGTTACTAAACAAAACAGCATTACGATCTTCAACACCCTTTGATACGTATACACCCAGTCAAACTGTATAAATTTATCATTTGCCACAAGTTGCAACGTAAATACATAAAACATGTCTTACTACATCAAACAGCACTGCGAAATTTGATCAGAAGAAGGGTGTGAACAGGATATTGGGCTTTTGAATTAGCGCCTACATATCTTCCATCAAAGCACTCACCACCACCAGCACGTTACTGTTACACTACTTCAAACGGTCGTCAACCTCGCTCATTTCCACACCCGAAAAGATTTTGCGCACCGTAAAGAGCTCCTCCGATCACATAATTCCACCCTCCGACGGAGCAGCAACCAACGGCGCAATAACTACCGAGTCAGCAACCACAACCGGTCCATCCACCACAAGCACGACAACCGCAGGCGCCTCCTCCACCGGATTCAACGTCCGGTCCTGCTCCGTCACCTGCTCCCACTCAGTGTCGCTTGAAGCCGCCACCGGATCTTCAGTCGCCTTCTCTACAACCACAGTGGCCTTCTACTGTCATGAAGTCTCTGGAATAGGTGCCACTTTCGTTTGGACCGGTTCCATATTCTTAATCTCGAGTACCATCTCTTTGGCAAACTCGTCAACACTCTCGGCCGCACATTTCAGATCTTCCGTCGTCTACTTCATAAGCTGGTCAAACGGCAGCTTCTAAATGCACATTCGCGCTGCCTGCACCGATTCTTGGGTGTCCTGAAATACCGTCTTGATCATCTCGTTCGTCAAGTCGAGCCCCTTCTGCGCTGTCTGCTGCGCCTTGTTGGTCCACTCCTCGTACTTGACCTTGCTCATGGCTACATTTAGCATCTCCACAATCTTCTTAACGGACTTGATGATCGGCACCGCCACATTCTCGTAAAAAACGACAGCCGAGCCTTCACGTATTCAAAGTGCACCTACATGGGGCTGTCCACAGATGGCGAAAGCTATCGACACACGCGACACTCCTCCCACCGCGCAGACGGTGCAGATCTCCACTGTACTTGATCTAAAGTGCCGTTTGCTTGGCGTCCATCGTGAGGGATTGTTGAAATGAAGTGAAGAAAATCCATGCAGTGGAGTCTTGGGTATGGTCAAGATCGCAGTGCTATTTAGTTTAGTAGCTTTTACGAATTTACATTACAATTTGTGGCAAACGATTGGTTTACAAAGTTTGGTGGGCGCGCATCGAAGGGTGAGTGTGTACCCATCAATGTTCTTGTATGCGTAAAACATGAGATGGCGCATTTGAGATGGTTTCCACCTAATCCACACGTCATTTGCCTTTTTTTCTTGACAAAGTAGCTCTCCAAGCTCTTCTGATTTGATAAGGCAGTCTTGCCTGAAATGACGAAGCGCTTGAAGCGGCGGAGGAGCGTATCGATTTCCTCAGCATGGTCTAATTGAGCGTATTTTCCAGGCATACCCTCCATCAATATGTCCACAGCTTCCTGCATCTTTCCCCAGGGCACCGACACTGGCGATTCCTCGTCATTACTCCCCTCATTATCCTCGTCCGCCAAGTTCTGATCCGGCAAGATCTCAGTCAATATCTACTCACCGGTACCTTCTCAATAAGACGGGCAGAGTGTCTTCGACTTGAACGTAGCGCTGAGCGTCCATGTGGAGGCGACATTGTGCTATGGGGTGTTTGGATAGAGGGCTGAATCCGGATAACCGGATAGACGTCTTCAGTGTTGGGTAGAGAATTGATGACCATGCGATCTCGAGAAGAAAGAATGCCGGTATTTTCCCAGCAATGGCGAATGGACGCAGGTTGAAAGTCGTTACACGACTCGACGAGCATATCAATTTCCTGGTGGATGGTGAGCTGGTTTTTAGGCTGAAAAGTGTGATCTTCAGTGGCCCCGAACTTCCCCAGGATGTACTCAATGTAGCGCGTCTTGTACTTGAGTTTGAAGTTGGTGATGATGCCGGCATCGGCCGGCTGCAGATGCGACGTGGTGTTTGGAGAGCAAAGAACCTGTGTATAATTGAATCGTAGTCAAAATTTAAAACTCTGTTGCAGAACAATTTATGGCACTTACCGTGATGTTGGTAAACTGGTTCGCATAGTCCTCCATGGAGTGAGGAGTGGTATTATCTAGCAGCAGCAGAATTTTACGGGCCTGGCGTCGGAACTGAAGGTTTAGGTCGAGAATACAAGGCTTGAACACGCCGCCCTTCATCTAAGCTTTCTTTTTCAAAAAATACTCTACATAGTGCAGATTTGTCATGTCAACGTCGAGGCAGCAACGCAGTTTAAAAGCACTTCCGATGACAAGTGCTTTGAGCTTCTCAGACCCTACATAAAGACATTTTAGCAAAGATCACTATTTTTCATATGAAGCTGAAAGCACATGCCTGACGCATTGCATCCGAATAGAACAGTGATCCTGGCCTTTTCCTTCTTGTAGTCATTCTACGAACGCTGCATCAGTGTCTTGTTTGGAGCCATGAGATAGAACATCCCGGTTTTATCGCTGTTGAAGACTTCACTGGGATAAAATAATCGATTAGATTCTAAAGCTCAAGTCGGAATGCAGGCAGTTCTTGAAGTGGGACGCTTTCTGCCTCTCCATGGAGACTGTACGACTGATGTGTAGCTCCCCTTGAAGTGCTGAAGCAAATTTTCGAAGGCAGTAAAATTGTTTTCTTCTGTGCCTGGAGTGTTAACACCGAGGGCGGATACAAATTGAAGAGTCATTACTCGAAGAATTGCATCGGTGAGCACGACGTCGTTGGACTTCATTTGAACAAACCAGTTTTTTTCACCTTATCAATCTGAAAAAGATAGCTGTGATCATTTTGAAAGCGACAAAGGAACAGCAAAAATGGCACCAACCTCGTCGTGCAGCGGACCACGGAACTTCTTGATGCATTCCATGTTACCACCGCCTGTCCCACTTTTTGGCATGGTGGAGTATGACTCCCTTCTTGTTGAGGATGTCGGTACTGTCGTGCGCTTCATCTCGAGTTTTTTCGCAATCGCCTGATGAGTAGCTGTAAGATTTCTTGCTTGGAAGGCTATAATGTCCACCTTAGTCTCCAGCGGGATGACCGGTCTTTTCTTGACTGAGATGTTGTCTGACATTCTTCTTGTGGTGGATGTTGGGAGGAAAGTGAGAGGTTTCAAGGGGTGGTCCTCTCTTTTTATGTTTCTCTGGGGGGTTCCAAAGTTTTACTATAAATTAATTGATTCTGTAGGATTTACTGAAAGATCTAGACATTTCTAGCACTTTTCTACAATATTCCGTACAGCTCAGATCACCAGTTTTGACGGAATGTTGATCCAGAATAAAACGGGCGGCTGTTATAGAGAATACATCAATGTATGTACCGTATACTTGGAGCATGGCTGTTGCTGTAAGAGCTGAAAAGCTGTTATAGCTGAAAAGCCGTTATAGAGAGCGGATTCTGGCTGGCGGAAAGTCTTAACCGTTTTGGGGGCTGCTACATGAAATTTCTGTTGCAGCATTGGCTATTGAAGAGAGAGCCAACTGTCGTCGAACAAAGTGCTCATCGATGACACCGTTGACCACAAGATGCTATCGAGCATGACATTAATAGTAGTGTAAAGAGAAGGCTCATTTTATTCATTGACGGCTAGAACGGCTTGATTATACCGAGAAATGTCGCTGAATATCTACTGTAGAAGCATGGGCGCCAGGATCAGGCCAATGTAGAGCTGCTGGTACGTAGCGTCGTAGTATAGAGTGCATATGCCGATGCAACAGCCTGCAGAAGCGAAAAAAGTTCTTGTGCCGTCAGATTCGGTATTGGAGTGGCTTTGGGTAAGATCGGATCGTCAAACGACGTCACATGCATAACGTACGAGATATGATACAATGGTTGAGGACCTTGTAAGCCATCATATACGTCCAGAGGTTATAGCTGTGGAATGTCCAAGTCGAAAGCAGGAGGACGTTAACGCAATATGTGGATATAGAGGTACAAGCAGCTATGAATTTCGCTAGCGCAAATGTAGCGAAGAAGCTTTTGTATTACAGAAGAGACAGAAAGATGCAGTAGTAGGCTCCACGGTATCGAAGCGTTACATTAGTTGTTATATATAGCAGAAGAGTGCTATGGGTAATTATAAGAATGTCGCTTTTATTGTCGCTTGGTAACGAGTAATGATGATGAAAGGATTGATATTCGGTTTACGCACAGCCACTTCTTTTGGGGTGCATATCGTTTCGACCTAATTTGTAATGGCTAACAAGTAAAGTTGATGCAGCATACGATAATCGAAGCTTTGTACTTCTTTATATCTAGTTACCACTTTTGGTAAGCAATTTGTGGCATTTCACGTCACTGTACTTCTTCTCACTTATCATCAATATACGTTGGTCATGTCGGGCTCAACCTGCAAGAAACAATTGGCAGGTGAATCTGTGATCACGATTGCACAGCTGCTGGTTTTAGATACTTTAAGTACTAATGGCTTGTGATGAAGAAAATGTAATCGCTATCATGAGGGAAGTGCTTGTCTCGCAAAGAAGTGTAGTCTAATATTCGACGTTGTATGTCTTGGAGTTTAGGTCCCACACGACACCTTTGCACATGGCGTTGTTTTTATACGTAGGCGGTACGATTCCTGATTCGCAAAATCTCTTCGAACAAATGGAGCAAGCTCATAGGCAATGTTGATATAATGTTCCCTAAGATTTCCATCCCCTTATGTAGCTTACAAACACTGCTAACTTTTACGAGAGAACATCCACCATAGTCGTTTATGGTAGCCAAAGTAGCCGAGAAGACATCGCAGAAAGAGAGAGAATTTTATAAATATAGGGTAGGAAAAAAAATACTTTTCAAGCCAATCATGAGGGTAATTTGCGTGATGTTGGTACCGAGAATGTCATTTTGGACCCCCTGGAGCAGCTTGTAGGACGAACGGTGGGGTTCTTGGTCAGGGTACAAGCACTACCTAATATCCTCATCTCCATGAAATTAGTAAAGAGGGGTACCAAAGTACAAGCAACTCACCTAAAAACAAGTGGATCGCCTAAAATGTAGGATGGCCAATTGAAAAATGGTATACGTATTAGTCTTCTTCAATCGATATAATAGATGATTAGAAAAGCTACAGAAACTGATCTTACATAGAAATCCAGTAGCCAGGCGAAGTATACTAGTACGAGCGTGAACGGTCGCAGCCTGACAAGAATATTATCAATTACGCTAGGATTAATTTCTGCACGACGACAAAGGCAGCGGAAATATGAAAGGCGATACAACAGCAGATGAGAATCATGCAGCCTGGGAGTCCCAGCAAGATTAGATGATATGGTCGCCCAAGGAGTGGCCGCTGTCGATCGCGATTCTACCCACACCTTTCAAATAGAACTATGCAAACTGGTGAGAGTAAGGCACGGTAGTAGGTCTGATGTTATGCATCATGATGCACTGTTCTTTCGACAAATAAAAACAATTAAGCATAGTCTTTTTTCACCTTATTCTGCAATCTAGTTCTTAAGATGACCAGATGCGATTGTGTCCTCCCTGTGCGAAATACATCCGTACCTTCCTTAGAAGATGAAATAACCCACGTAGACCACCATTATACAGCAATCGCAAAGCCATTCTTCGACGCATTGGTATGATCAGCTTTATTTGCGAGATCTAAATTGCGATAGGTTTCTACTGAAAGGAAATTGGAGGAATACCAACTTGAGTCGTTCAATGCAGTCTTTTTCAGGGGGGTGTTTCTTAGACAGATGTGTGACGGCAAGTGTGTACATACTTTACAAATTGGCTGCGGTACAGCTGTTGTTAGTTGAAGATTCGTGTAGGAAGGAAATATGGTTTGGGAGGCCGTTCACATGCTTGCAGGCTAACCAGTTAGTTACGACAATCCACTTGTTTTTTAGGCGAGTTGCTTGTTTTTTAGGATCCCTTTACTAAATCTGTCCGTAAGTAACTCCTCCCTTACATCCCCTTCATCCTCCTCCTGAAATGCACACATAAACTATTGACCGTTGATCTCTTTCTGAGCACTTTAGTCTTCTTTGAAAGATTTTAAATTTTCATCAATGGGGAGTCAGCCAAGATACAAAAATAAATTTTCCTGAAAAATTGAATAATTTTTTTTCCTAGATGGTTGGGTTATAAAACATGCTTCCTGCTATAGTTTATTTTAGTCAACGTGGCACACGTATAACGACTTAGTTCTTCGACGAAGGACTTAATTTATTACGACCAACAAGCACGCGCAATCAAAGGATCCTTACTTTTTGTAAGTCTGATACGTCTGTTTTAAAAAAACAAATGATCCTTTGATTACGGTCACTCGAATATTCACCGTGAAATAGTAGACTTATGCTACGCCCGCGTATCACCAACGCTACATTCAACCACTACATATCTGCAAATGTCAAAAGGTTGTACGCTAAGGTGCAGTAGAGAAAACTTGTGTCGAAATTAGCTGTGTAGTCCTTAAACATTCAAAAGTACCAGTGCTTACTAGCAATCTACTGTATTCGAAGGCGTGCGGTATTTTTGTAGCACATCGTAACGGCGCAGCATGGGATGTGTGGCACCCCGATCTGAACGCGAGAGGGCCGCACGGCCAAGTGCTGACGGACGCAAAACGACAAGCTAACCAAATAGCCTTGTCTAATCAGGTTTCAATGCCAAGTGTATGTGTTTTCTCAAACTATACAATATACGCTGGAGTGAATTAACATCTCGACAAAATGGAAGGTCTTGTGCGTAATGCCATTATCTTTTGAACTCTCTACGTCCATTGTGCTTTTTTATAGTCGATAACATCACCGGTCAATTTTAGCAATATTACTTAAATATCTCCATCAGCATTGGTAGGTCTGTCCATCTGATTTTCTTATTGCTTTGAATCGTACCTCTACATTGTACACAGCTTTGTGTACGCGGCAAATTAAGACGGCACTATCGTATTCAATCCAGAGTAAATGCCATGTTAGATGTCAATCCATTACGTCCGGACGAACCGATAAAGCAACGTTTTAGTACAATAAAATGACAAGCAACTTTTATAGGTTATGCTTGAGCATCATCGCGCCTGTCCTGCTTGCAATTCGAATGCAGTCGAAGAAGTTTGAGCGCTTTCGAATCAAAAGAATAACAAACAAGCAGCCGAAATAGATTCAAAACAGTCTGTAGAAATGGTAAAATATGCTAAAGAAATAGAGCTGATTAGCAGGAAGCGAATTCCCATCTCACAATTAAATAACTACACCAGCAGCACTGCAGTACTAACAATACCACAAAGCAGTAGTGGCATCAAGAACTTTAACTGAAAACGAAACAGCATCATAGAACAACAGCTACACCATTTTTTCAGCAGCAACAACAAAAGCAACAAAACCGACAGTAGAATCAGTATTAAAAGCAACAGTATCAACTACAACAGCAGATACAACAGCAGCAGCAGTAACAAAAGAAACAGGAACAACCCAGATAATTTATGACAACAGCAATAAAAACACCAACAACAAAAAAAACGGCTGCATCAACGGCGGTAGCAGCACAAACGACACCATAACAAATGACACGAGCATCAAAATAGCAGCAACGAAACAGTAAACACTTATAACATCAGTAAACAACAGATTATCAAAAAAAGAACAACATTAAAAGCAATAACATCAATAACATCAATAACATCAATAACAAAAACATCAGCACTGATTATTCACATGTACGACCGCGGAAGACGACATACGACGCTTTAAGTTCTATTCTGTGCCACATGCGCCCGCAAGTAGCGGCTGAGGGCGCAGCACGCCCACGGCAGAACCTTTCCCCCCGCGGATCCCTCTTTAAGGAGGGGTTTGAGCACGGCCATATATTGGGAATAGAGAAATGACAAAAGATAAATATTTATGTGCACCACGAAAATGAATATACTAGGACGTAAAGCATTTAAAATCCTTTGATGTGGCTAATTTTTAAGTACAATTGTCAGGACAATATTTTGATATATTAAATATATGGGACAGTGCAATGCAGAATTTTCGGTTCCCCCACCTCTCTCCTCACCTCACTACACCTTATTTCTTTGTATCAAACTTACTTTGACATTGCCTTAATGTCGAATGGCCTTCTCCTTGATCTCTTGTTTCAGTTCTATCTCACAGACACTCATGGCTCAAGATACGCGGCTCTAAAAATTAATACACAAGATTAATGATGGCTGGTGGTGTGAAACCTAAAAGACAACGATTGACGCCCTGAATTCTTGTCCAAGATTTTGACCTTATTGCCTCTTTTTCCAAATTTTTACCCATGTTTTAATATTTCGATACAAACTGCGCTGATGCTAGAGCCATTGCAAAAGGACACGGTCTATAAGTCAGTGGGGTTGCAGTGAGTAAAATTGGTGGAGCGGTTGAAGTAAAAATTATTAGAAGACATTAGCCAATAACGGGCACTGAAGCAACTTTCCATAACACAGTGCAGAAAAATTTCTTAAGTGAGTTAATAAAAACGATAATTTAGGGTGAATTGGTTAAGTATCTGCATCATAGTAAGGTTTCGCATCCTAATTATCGCACTGAGACCTGAGTTGTGTAAAGCCGCTGATACAACAGTCAAATCTGCGATGACACAAACGACGTCAATATTTCGTTCACCTTAAATACAAAGGGCTACCACAAAAATTGAGGGAAAGACCACCACTTCTACGTACACCGGTCGCGCCAGTGCTGGGCCTGCGGCTTACAAGGGATACCGCAAGCTTACTAGGGGTAAAAGGCGCATTTAAAATTTCAGACGGGGGGACTTGCATAGCAGGACAAGGCTTTAATTATAAATTTTAGGGGTGTATATTCAGTTTTATCTTAGATAGCCGATGCTGTAACAAAAATTCATGTAGCAGCCCCCAAAACGGTTAAGACTTTCCGCCAGCCAGAATCCGCTCTCTATAACGGCTTTTCAGCTATAACAGCTTTTCAGCTCTTACAGCAACAGCCATGCTCCAAGTATACGGTACATACATTGATGTATTCTCTATAACAGCCGCCCGTTTATTCTGGATCAACATTCCGTCAAAACTGGTGATCTGAGCTGTACGGAATATTGTAGAAAAGTGCTAGAAATGTCTAGATCTTTCAGTAAATCCTACAGAATCAATTAATTTATAGTAAAACTTTGGAACCCCCCAGAGAAACATAAAAAGAGAGGACCACCCCCTTGAAACCTCTCACTTTCCTCCCAACATCCACCACAAGAAGAATGGCAGACAACATCTCAGTCAAGAAAAGACCGGTCATCCCGCTGGAGACTAAGGTGGACATTATAGCCTTCCAAGCAAGAAATCTTACAGCTACTCATCAGGGGATTGCGAAAAAACTCGAGATGAAGCGCATGACAGTACCGACATCCTCAACAAGAAGGGAGTCATACTCCACCATGCCAAAAAGTGGGACAGGCGGTGGTAACATGGAATGCATCAAGAAGTTCCGTGGTCCGCTGCACGACGAGGTTGGTGCCATTTTTGCTGTTCCTTTGTCGCTTTCAAAATGATCACAGCTATCTTTTTCAGATTGATAAGGTGAAAAAAACTGGTTTATTCAAATGAAGTCCAACGACGTCGTGCTCACCGATGCAATTCTTCGAGTAATGACTCTTCAATTTGTATCCGCCCTCGGTGTTAACACTCCAGGCACAGAAGAAAACAATTTTACTGCCTTCGAAAATTTGCTTCAGCACTTCAAGGGGAGCTACACATCAGTCGTACAGTCTCCATGGAGAGGCAGAAAGCGTCCCACTTCAAGAACTGCCTGCATTCCGACTTGAGCTTTAGAATCTAATCGATTATTTTATCCCAGTGAAGTCTTCAACAGCGATAAAACCGGGATGTTCTATCTCATGGCTCCAAACAAGACACTGATGCAGCGTTCGTAGAATGACTACAAGAAGGAAAAGGCCAGGATCACTGTTCTATTCGGATGCAATGCGTCAGGCATGTGCTTTCAGCTTCATATGAAAAATAGTGATCTTTGCTAAAATGTCTTTATGTAGGGTCTGAGAAGCTCAAAGCACTTGTCATCGGAAGTGCTTTTAAACTGCGTTGCTGCCTCGACGTTGACATGACAAATCTGCACTATGTAGAGTATTTTTTGAAAAAGAAAGCTTAGATGAAGGGCGGCGTGTTCAAGCCTTGTATTCTCGACCTAAACCTTCAGTTCCGACGCCAGGCCCGTAAAATTCTGCTGCTGCTAGATAATGCCACTCCTCACTCCATGGAGGACTATGCGAACCAGTTTACCAACATCACGGTAAGTGCCATAAATTGTTCTGCAACAGAGTTTTAAATTTTGACTACGATTCAATTATACACAGGTTCTTTGCTCCCCAAACACCACGTCGCATCTGCAGCCGGCCGATGCCGGCATCATCACCAACTTCAAACTCAAGTACAAGACGCGCTACATTGAGTACATCCTGGGGAAGTTCGGGGCCACTGAAGATCACACTTTTCAGCCTAAAAACCAGTTCACCATCCACCAGGAAATTGATATGCTCGTCGAGTCGTGTAACGACTTTCAACCTGCGTCCATTCGCCATTGCTGGGAAAATACCGGCATTCTTTCTATTCGAGATCGCATGGTCATCAATTCTCTACCCAACACTGAAGACGTCTATCCGGTTATCCCGATTCAGCCCTCTATCCAAACACCCCATAGCACAATGTCGCCTCCACATGGACGCTCAGCGCTACGTTCAAGTCGAAGACACTCTGCCCGTCTTATTGAGAAGGTACCGGTGAGTAGATATTGACTGAGATCTTGCCGGATCAGAACTTGGCGGACGAGGATAATGAGGGGAGTAATGACGAGGAATCGCCAGTGTCGGTGCCCTGGGGAAAGATGCAGGAAGCTGTGGACATATTGATGGAGGGTATGCCTGGAAAATACGCTCAATTAGACCATGCTGAGGAAATCGATACGCTCCTCCGCCGCTTCAAGCGCTTCGTCATTTCAGGCAAGACTGCCTTATCAAATCAGAAGAGCTTGGAGAGCTACTTTGTCAAGAAAAAAAAGGCAAATGACGTGTGGATTAGGTGGAAACCATCTCAAATGCGCCATCTCATGTTTTACGCATACAAGAACATTGATGGGTACACACTCACCCTTCGATGCGCGCCCACCAAACTTTGTAAACCAATCGTTTGCCACAAATTGTAATGTAAATTCGTAAAAGCTACTAAACTAAATAGCACTGCGATCTTGACCATACCCAAGACTCCACTGCATGGATTTTCTTCACTTCATTTCAACAATCCCTCACGATGGACGCCAAGCAAACGGCACTTTAGATCAAGTACAGTGGAGATCTGCACCGTCTGCGCGGTGGGAGGAGTGTCGCGTGTGTCGATAGCTTTCGCCATCTGTGGACAGCCCCATGTAGGTGCACTTTGAATACGTGAAGGCTCGGCTGTCGCTTTTTACGAGAATGTGGCGGTGCCGATCCTCAAGTCCATAAAGAAGCTTGTGGAGATGCTAGAGGTAGCCATGAGCGAGGCCAAGTACGAGGAGTGGGCCAACAAGGCGCAGCAGACAGCGTAGAAGGGGCTGGACTAGACGAACGAGATGCTCAAGACGGTATTGTGGTGAAGTCGATCTCACAAAATTGCTTGTATGAGTGTCGATCTTCCACTTGCCCAGACTTGCCGACTCACGGAGGGGGTACTCCGATCCGTGCCTTGTTGTATGACCTTGTGCTCACCTTGTGTACCCGTCGGTTGGACTGGCTTGAGCTCTTCGTAACGGCCTTGGGAGATGTCGATCTCGCTGAGAGGTTGGGTTGAGGGTTCGCTTCCGGTGCGGAAATCTTCACACCACGAACGGGGGTTCTGCGATCCCGATCTTGGATCGCACCGATCTTGATTTGTCTTCGAGATCGGGGTCTTTGCTGTGCGGAAATCTTCACTCAGCAAATAAAAGTCCTGCGTCGATCTTGCCTTGGGATCGGTCCGATCTGGTCTTGGGATCGGCCGATCTTGCCGGAAGTGCGCAATTTGGGTAGATCGGTGTCTTGTTTCGCTAAAATGAAACGTGCCGATCTGTCCAGGGGATCGCTTCGATCCTGCTCGGTCTTGTCTTGAACGCCTTGTCCAGATCTTCTGACCACTTGAGCCGTCTCGCGATCCTGTGTCCAAAATCCTTTTCCTTTTCCGTTGTGTGCTGCTACCCTAGCAGTTGAGTTGAGTGTGAGTACTTGATCGATCCGGGCCAGATATCCCGGGATCGCTCTTCTCGATCTTGGCCAACAATCCAAGATCGGTCTTCTGTGTCCCTGTAACACGCGTGCCTTAACCCGCCGGGGAAGCCAAATCAATCTTGCCTGGAGAAGAGGGGAGGACAACGTGCGTCGTGAGCAGAAGAAGTAGAGTTCAAGTCTGTTTATTAACCAACCAAATTACTATCCAACCTACCCTTAAGCCTATTCTTAACTATAGGTCACTCTTCAAACCAATATCGCCTTGAATCTGGATCGCCCCCTTGCCACGTGTCGAAATTTCGTGCCCTGTACTCCAATGATAGCGCCAATATCCCCGATATCGTACCTAGAGCACCAAATGGACCAAAATCTCCTATATGGTACCAAATACCCATTTTTGGCACCCAAGTACCCAATATATGACCCAAAATGCCGAATGTGTCCAAATTCACTTTGCGACGTCAATTCGGACAGCTTCCACTGGCTCTTTCGGCATGAAACTTCTTGACATCACTTAGTGACCTCTATCAAGTATATCCCACATGATCCAGTATCTTCATCAACCATATATTCATGATCAGTGTGGAACATGACCGGTCTGTCATCCAATATCGAGATGTTGGAGGTCGACCCGGTCTAAATCGGCAATTAACACTTTTTCATCTCCTCATACGTGCTTCAATATCATCCTCCAGTGTTATCCAATCGACAACTTCATTCATACGTCTCGACATCGGTTTCCTTGACTCCCCTGAGTATGCAAAACTTCCAGATCGGTGTATAATTAACCAAAATCAGTACTCCCAATTTAGGATCGGTAAAGAGTATCACCGATCCGTATGGTGTTGCACCTTCTTTGCCGATTCACCGACCCGTACCACCTGGTCCCAGATGCACTTTGGGGAGTCACCTTGTCCCAGATGTGTCAATTCTCCAACAAACCGTTGCCACAACATGTCGATCTGCGATCTGATATTAGCCTGCTTCAATGTACGTATACTTCTTCTTGACCGGCATTCCAATGAGCTGTATGACTTCATCCCGATGTCTGGTTCCAGATCGCCCCATAACATTCTGCAAGATGTTACACCTTCGTCGCAGAGTCATATCCCATCACCCGGTCCCAGATCCTTGTCCCATATTGTTCCATGTAAATCGTTCCAGATCGCTCCGTCCCAGGTCGATCCATACCCATAAGTCTAACGACAGTTGGATCGGTTCGCCGATCCCGTTAAGATCATCTTCCACCTCCGTATTGTATCGCCGAGTCTCATGGCCTCCTTTCCACCAGTAAGCGGCGCTTTAAAGGTGTGGCCACCGATCCTCGTACAAAATTTAAGTAGTGACTTTGCCACAGTATTTCAGGACACCCAAGAAGCGGTGCAGGCAGCGCGAATGTGCATTCAGAAGCTGCCGTTTGACAAGCTCATGAAGTAGACGACGGAAGATCTGAAATTTGCGGCCGAGAGTGTTGACGAGTTTGCCAAAGAGATGGTACTCGAGATTAAGAATATGGAACCGGTCCAAACGAAAGTGGCACCTATTTATAGAGACTTCATGACAGTCGAAGGCCACTGTGGTTGTAGAGAAGGCGACTGAAGATCCGGTGGCGGCTTCAAGCGACACTGAGTGGGAGCAGGTGACGGAGCAGGACCGGACGTTGAATCCGGTGGAGGAGGCGCCTGCGGTTGTCGAGCTTGTGGCGGATGGACCGGTTGTGGTTGCTGACTCGGTAGTTATTGCGCCGTTGGTTGCTGCTCCGTCGGAGGGTGGAATTATGTGATCGGAGGAGCTCTTTACGGTGCGCAAAATCTTTTCGGGTGTGGAAATGAGCGAGGTTGACGACCGTTTGAAGTAGTGTAACAGTAACGTGCTGGTGGTGGTGAGTGCTTTGATGGAAGATATGTAGGCGCTAATTCAAAAGCCCAATATCCTGTTCACACCCTTCTTCTGATCAAATTTCGCAGTGCTGTTTGATGTAGTAAGACATGTTTTATGTATTTACGTTGCAACTTGTGGCAAATGATAAATTTATACAGTTTGACTGGGTGTATACGTATCAAAGGGTGTTGAAGATCGTAATGCTGTTTTGTTTAGTAACGTATATTTTTATGCATTCACGCTACAATGTGTGGCAAACGATTATTTACACAGTTTGGGTGGGCGTGTTCGCATCATAGGGTGAATGTGTACCTATTGATTTCCAAAAAATGTGAAGTGAAAGAATTTTCTCCATAATAACCAACATGACGGGGCCTCTCCTTTGTCTGTTAGACGCGTTTAACAGCCGCTAGCTATAGCAGCCCAAAATTCGGTATACGGTTGATGCGTCATAGAGAGCTTACTGTAGGTCTGCACAAGCCGACGACAGTCCGTTGTAGCTCTACCTACAAAATCTCCCATAACTTTCGCGGATTGGCTGAAACTGTTCGACACATATCTTCCAATGGACGACAGCGACCAGCTGTACTCCCGTCAAATACGCCCCGCAAAACGAAGGAACGACCGACCGACCGACAAGCCGGCTACGAAGCGAGAGAGGGCCCCCCATGGCTTCCAAGGGCGAACACGAGAAGCCAGAGACGATAGAAGATGAGCACCAGCCAGTACGTGCATGGTGGATACGCTTTTAGTGCGAATAAGGATGAATTTTATGACTTTGGTGTGTTTTTGACAGATTGTCAAAAAGGTGCGGCTTGACATGGACGCCAAGGTCACGGAAGACGTCAAAAAAGTCAAAATTGATGAAAATGCGGCTCCCCAACCTGAAATCGGCGGCCACGAGGTCTGTATATTGAAGTCCGAAGGCCACATGCTTGACATTTGACGCTAACGAGGTGATTGCATCAGGCTGTAGTTGAGAACGACTCAGTGTCGACCACGTCACCCGTGGCCGAAAAAGAGCTGGGCGCTGATGTTGTCGAGAATAAGGACGTGGACAAAGGAGATGGTTGTCACGTCTCCAGCACCACCACTACCAGCAGCAGCAGTGCTTTTAGTGGTTTCAGTGCTTTTCGAGGCACTGATGCTTTAGCGCAGGTTATAGTACCCACCTGTATGGTAAACACTGCCCCGGCGTCTTCCTCGGGTGCAGGAGCTGAAGTAGTTGCAGCTCAAGTCTCGAAAGAGGTTGAGCAGGTAACGTTCGTGCCGGTGCCGTCGACAGCAAAAATGAGCAGCTCGAGTGGATTCGCGTCGTTTCAGAGCAACTCTTCCGCGACGTTTGCTTCTTTTGCTGCCGTGCAGTCGACGTCAGAGGGTTTTGGCGAGAAAGCATCGGCGTCTTTGTCGACTGATTTTCTGGCGGACGCAGACGCGGTGAAGAAACCAAACTGTGTCGTACCAGCGCTTTCCGAAGCCGAGGTAAAGCATGGAATGTGTGTGATTGTTTTTGACATAGAGATCGCTGTAACGGTACTGTGTTGCAATGCATTCAGCTAGCGAATGGAGAAGAAGAAGAACAGCTGTTGGTCGAGGTGCGGGCACGTTTTGGTCGGCGGCGTCACTTGCAGGAGTACTTACTTCTTCATTTGTGAACAGAAACGCACCAAGCTTTTTAAGTTGGTGGAGAAGGACTACGCAGAAGTTGGTGTTGGCCCACTGCGAGTCCTGAACATGAAGGATGCAAAGACGGAGACGGACAAATACACAGCACGGCTAGTAATGCGGCGCGAGTCGTACCCGCATGGACCTGGCACCAAGTTGCTGATTAACACAAGTTTGCGCTCTTGTCTACTGTGCGAGAAGAAGACAGAGAAGACGATGCTTTTGACAGTTTTGGAGGAGACAAAGGAGGACCTGGAAGCGGAAACGAAAGTCATCCCAGTGACTTATCTCATGCGATTTGAATCGCCAGACGATCTAGACGTTGTGAAAGCGCGGATTCAGACGCACTTGCACTTGCCGGAAGCAGCTACGTCTCTCAATTGAACCTAAGGCTGATCGGAGTGCAATCGCGTTGCTTGAGCTGTAAGAGCTCTACTTGAAGGGTGTAGTGATACTTTTTGCCTCGTGAATGACAAAATACAGGATACAGTTGCATCGGCTACGCGGTGTGACCAGCCCGTACTTTACATAGCAATTGTCTGTTGAATAAAATACGTGCAGGCAAAGCTAAGTTTGCCGTACCGTGAGGGTGGTACCGAATTCGTATAAAGCTGAGCCGTAAGAAAGCGGGGTACTTACCAATGGAATTTCGATAGTGTGTAATTACACGACTCCATGCCAGCTGATAAAATGGTTGGACGCCCTAGAGTGTGGCCGTTATCGATCTCCACTTACTCACTTATCAATCGTCACTGTGCCTCGCTTAACTGGATCGCAATGCCGTAAAGGACGATGAAGAACACAAGCTCCCTCTTCTGAGAAAACCGTGCGGAAGACAGCTGCATCCGGAATCACTTATGCAATCACCGAGTCCACCTGATCGCAGTACGTGTATTATATTCTTTTGTATATTTCGACGAGCGATGATGAAAATAGTGTCTGATTTGGCTTGAACCAACTAGCCGTGAAGAACCCAATTTTATCACTATCACCCATAAAATGAGCTCTATATTTCTAGTTGTGTGCAACGAGTGAGGACTGATGACCACATACTTTGGTCCGTGTTCATGATCTGCCTAATGGCAATGAAATTAATCAAAGGTCTGACCTCACTTGATTTATTCACGGGTCTTGTCAATGTACTGTATATGGTTCGTGCCGCTTCTTCATACTCCACGCCGACAATATTCTGCGACATAGTGAGCTGATAGCGAATGCTCTTATTGTGATCTTTGACTTGCGCTGAAAAGTGCGACAAGGGGTGAAGCGATGAGTTCGGACGTTGTCACTGCTCGATGTGTTTGTATTTGTGATTGGAAACGGTACTTTTTCACAGAAGCAAAAGCAATAGCGAGCTTACTACGGATTCCGCTGCTGTTTGTGATCCAGCTGAAGAGTCAATCATCTAGTCAACCTTTGGTCGGTTGGGTGGGCGATTCGGAAGCTCAAAGCACTATGTGCGGCGGAGTCAACATAGCTGCTGACATGTTGATTCGTGTTGAATATTGCGTGTTGGACGGAGTTGTTGATGATTAAACTCTTCATGCACCACTCGGAAATGGTTGATGGCGTTTATCGCCGTCTTCTTTGTGTCGATAAACTGAACACCTAGAACCTTGGATGAAACAACCGTTTATTGTGCATGTTTATATGTGAAGGCTTCGAGTCTGCGCCTGTGAGGATACTTACACTATTATCAGAATACCCTTTTGTTTTCGGACAAACATGTAGACACGTACACCTGTGTTTCTGAGGCGATTCAACCAGACTATGTGTATATATACTGTATGTTGATGTGTGTGATAAAGAATGACGATAACTGTAGAGGATTCCCCTTCATACGTGCCGTCTACATTGGCAACCATGATGAGTATCCAGTGTCGGACTTACCATTAGCACTTTGACGAAGAAGTTTTAACCTGGACGCCGATGATTATACACTTTACAGACCTGTTCTGAATCAACGTGAGGATACAAATCATGCACCACCATATGAGTCGTCCCGATCTCCTGTTAGTCTGGACTAATAAAACCGATATAATTCATTTTACACTAAACTCGACTTGTCTTCAGAACTTTATAGTGTCGTCTAGTGCGTTACTCTAGCTATCGCCGAAAGCACATTCGGGACACCTTGCATCCTCTTCAAACTTAAATACGCCTGTCTATCAACACTTCTTGCTGCTCTGTGTAAGATAAAGGAGATCGTGCTGGATCTCGCTTTTTACTAGAAGTAATTCAGTTCGGAGAACTGGATCAAGTTGCAAAACACAATACAACAGCAGCAGTTGCTGAGGAATGAGTACAATGCTGTTAATGTCTGTTTTAACCCAGTACAGTATGGTAGGGCAACCAAATCGGCTGTGCTGATGAGCGTCTTGCACTTGTTTGTGCGATCATATTCACCTTCGATCAATGTTAAGCCAATTACGTGCGTGCATCACAATATTGACCCAGCCATAGAATGACACCAATCACGCGAATGGACCTATGAGGGGGGGGGGGGACAGGCTAGATCATACTTAGTACCGGTAGGGGTACACCTAACTGCGTTATTTACAGACAGACACACTCGGACACACAGATAAGTACGATTTAGAAGCTCGGCATTCAACCTTGCGCCCACTCACAAATAGCTACACCCTTCGGGCTCGCAGTTACATTAGCACGATGTCAACTCTTTACTCCTTTGTTAGGCTTTGCCACCCTTGACTGCTGCATCGGCCAGTGTATTCAAAATGATCGTTCTGGCGCGCTGGTAGTCTAGCGGGTCGAGCGAGTACAAGTCTTCACGGGCGCGGTCAGCATATCGACCAAACTCTTCCAAATCGCTCGATCGTAGAATCTGCTCAGCAACCGCACGCTGTAGCTGCTGCATCTGCACTGGAGCCAGCATTTCCTTTGCAAGAGCTAGAAGCTCAAAAGCTTGACCGGCGAATCGCATGGATTCGAGGCGGAGCGTCTCCACGGGCCATCCATCATGTCCAGGGAGCACAAAATACATGTCACCCACTTTCCACATTGAAGAGCGCCACCGGAGATCATCCCATGGCCGGGCAGGCCACAGACAGTAATTCCAGCGCAGAAAACCATCCAGCTCGAAGAAGAAGGTGAGGTATCCAACGAGCTCACCTTCGACGAGTGGCGAGGACACAAATTGGTTGGGAAAAGCTGGACCACAGCAGACGTACCAACAAACGTGTCCTCCGCGGGCGCGCGCGTTATTGGCTAATCGACGAGTTACCTCGAGATCAGCACAAGCCAGAGGTAAGAGAGGCACATAGTCCGCCACTTGCGGTGGAGCGTATGCAGGCGAGAAAAACTCCGAATGGTTCACGGCCAGCTTGATACGGAAATTGGGAGCCAGGCGCTCGATAAAGCGCAGTTGCTCGTGGAACACTGCTACGTCGCGGGGTTCGTCAGCACATATTCGTACGCGATCTGCAATCTCCAACGCTTTACAATGTGCGTAAAATTGCTCGATGAAGGCCTCGACCTCAGAAACTTGCCGCAAATAGCGGACTCGCTGAGTTGTACGGTCCTGGCACCTGATGCGCCAGCCATCGATTACAAATGCCGGAGCTTGGGGAGCCGATGTCGACGGAGGAGGTGGTGGTATTACGGGTTCGTTTTGTTGATCTTGGTCGAGTCGATCGGGCCTTTGATCACCAATTGAGGATGATGCGGTAGGAGAAGACATTCCGGAACTTGCCAAAGACGTTGAGCAATGCGCGTCTGATGTGGAAGCAGTTGTGACCGGAGGCGGCTGAAGATGGCGCACAGTTAGCTCAGCTGGAGCATCGAATCCCGCAGCTGGGTCGCGCCACACTGACAGGAGACCGAATACCTCGATTTCATGGTCCAAATGATGACGAGCACCTAGTGCTAGCAGTCGATCAAAGTGTGTAAAGTCAACCGTTACCGGAACTCCATGCGCTGGGTCCTCGTACACATCCAATATTGCATGTTCAAACAACGCTGACGCGTTTTGCTCTTCCATGTAGCACTGTTGGCCTGCCCATGGCATTTCTGTGGCGACAACTGACAAGCACTTCTGGCCCATTTCCGAAAGCGGAGCCATGTACCGATCAATCAATTCGAAATGCCGGTCGCTCCATAACGCCACACAATGTGCGCGTGCTATAGCCGTCCAGTGCTGCCACAAATCTAATCGAAACCGCCAATTATGTGGCGCCGGAAGCTGCACGTCCACAACACTCACAACAACGCTGCTCGACCATGTGAGCTCTTCATCTCGAAACCTTGCTTCCTGTGTAAACACCCACAACGGCAATTCATACACTCCAGGCTCGAGTGTTTCTGCGATCCGTATCCGCAAGTACACTGCATGTTCCCTTGCTGCCTTGCTACTGACTCCCGTGCGTTGCAATGTCTCCATGACAAGATCTGCGTTTTCATTCATAACATACCCCACCACAAACACTTCCACTGTCAGCTTATGTGGCGGCACAAATCTCGTGTCGACGGCCACGCGCGCCTTTGGTCCGTGACCCATCGGCAGCATCCAATTGCTCTTGTCTGTCGTGAGTAAAAATGGCACATTTGACTTCAATCGCAACTGTACTCCCGCCACTTCATTCCGAGCACAAGTCAGACGTACTCCTTCAGGCAGCTCCACATGTGCACCTGACGACGCCCACGCCACACGTCGATTGCCCACTCGACCGCTCTTGTGTTCACCAGGAGCTTGACAATCGGTCGTCTGTGCTGCATGATTCTTCTCAATCTCCTCGTCAAATGATTCATCATCTTCCATATCGGCACTGGGATCTGCACTTGTAATTGTCTTGGACATCGCCGGTGCAAATTGTGTCAAGAGCCACATCGGATGAGACGGAGCTGGTATCGGAGCGCTGTCCACGGAATCAGTAACGGCAAATGAAAACGTCGTAGCACGTTGAGGGGAGCCGCAATGGCCCTCAGTCGCTTGGCGACTTGTGTCTTGTAGGTACGGCAGCTGCCGAGCAAAGTCCTCGAGTGAATTGGTCCGACTCGTTCGATGCCGGTCGATTGTCGAATGGCTTAGAACTTGATCGGAGTTCACGCACTGCAGGGAAAAAGAACGACGGGACGACGAGGACGAGGAGGAAGTAGAAGAGGAAGACATGGACTCGTCGTTCGACATGGACGCGTCGTCGTCTGCGTGGTCGCCAGGGACCGCAAAACTGCCGCTGCTTGATCGGATGCGCTCGTCAATGCCGCTATTGTGGCGCTGGAAGCTCTCGCGCTGCTGCTGAGTACGAGGAGACGCGTCGTCTTGGGTCGTACTGGCTGTCGTCATCTTGGATCGCGGCGGACCGACTGCTGCAAGTAGCCTGTCGTTAAGTACGCGCGATGTGGGCAGTTAGAAATGCCAAGTCCCTGATTGCACGCGGCGTTTCTATAGCTTTAGTGGCGACTTGGGCGAGATTAATTGTGCGAGGTCGTCGTTTTGTGTGTTTCTGTGGTACTGGATTAGCTATAGCACTCGATCGAAGCAGGATGGTGTTGTTCGTGCTGTACGTACAGGCCGAGCTCGAGAACGTCGAGACGCTGGCCGCCCCACCTCTGCATCGCTGGTGCCTTGATGTGCAAGAGCCACGTAGCGATGAGACACGCGAGGGCGTTATGGTCTCGGACGAAGAGGGCGTGGACGTGGCAGGTGGTCGTGGTCGCGTGCACTTTACACTCAAGTGGCCTGGCGCGCAAAAGCCGTCGCAGTTGACGGTCATTCGTGACGTCAAGAACTTGACGCGTCACGTTACAGGCGCTGACTCGGGCGCATTCGTGCCCTTTGTCGGGTTCGAATGTCGAGGGTTGGAGGTTTCGGCGTGGCATCCGGAGAGCGGCTATCGCGTCATATCGAAAGGACGTCGCGCAGTCTTTGAAGACGTGGATCTGAGCGACGATTGGGCTGATTATGACGAGGATGGAGAGCAATCGGTTGGTGTGTATGGAGTCAAGTGGAAGCTCGAGGTGCACAAGTAAGAGACGTGGGCCTTCGTGTCTTGCTTAAGTTGAGTATGGTTAAGCACGAGAACGAGTACAAAGTAGTGGAGGGTAGAATGAAGAACTTCAAGTCTTTTGTCATGGCTTCGACTTTGTATGGCAGTTACAACCATGTCGCTTGATCCCGACGTTGTTTTGTATGAATCGCTATCTAACGGTTGGAACGAGGTGGCGACCAAAGAACTAGGAGCAGGAAGGAGTGTCGATGGTGTGGAACACAACAGCGTGCATGCCTAACGTGGTTCAATAACTTTGGTAGCAGAAGGCAATAAATGCGCAGTACAACGAACCACTTAGGTGTCAAACTTACAGGCCAACTTGAGGTCGTTGTCGAGCTACTACTTTATGCCATGTACTACCTACTGGTGACTGCACAAAGACGCATATCGTTGGTGAATATGACTTGTACCTGCTGTGAGTTCAAAAGCCCTAATGGATAGGACAAGACAGTACTTGTTCATCTTCCAAGTCTACCATTTTGATCGTCTCGGTGACGCACTGCACTTTCATCACCGATCTGTGCCAATTTGAGTACGCTGGACAGGTCCTCACTGCAGCGAACCAAGAAGGCCGATACACCTTAAAGGACCGACAACAATGTAATGTAAACAACGTACGCACGACGTAGTAACGGGAATACTTAACGATCTCACATCACCCTTTTTTATGAAAAATGCAACTGCCTCTGGTGATTACCATCTCTCCACCGCAACCAGCACATACCCGCGCTACTGTGAATGCTCGTACCTGCTGGTTGAGTTTAAGCGATCGAAGTTGAGTGCATTTTGCCACATGGCCGGAAGCGGGTATACTTTTGCGAGCCCAAAGGGTGAAGCTAATAGTAGTGACTGTGCGCAAGGTACGTGAATATGCAGAACTTGATTCGGTTCTACGGACGGTATTGAACAAGCTGTAGGAAAGCAAGGGATTTGTTACCTTGGTGGATTGGAGATTCGGCGCGATGTGTCGATTAGCGTCATTGTTTAGATAGGAAGGCAGAGCGGCTGCGTAGCAAAATGGGTGGTGTGGATGGCTTTGGAAAAGTGTCAGGTAGAAGAGAAGACATAAAATGTGAATACAGAACCTAATCGTCTTTCTACTGCGCATACTACTTCCCACAGGTTATGAGCCCAATGGCTAGAGAAACTGAAGCGACCCCCAAGACACCAGGAGGTGTCGCGCGAGCTGCGCCAGGGCGTGTCTCGCCAGCGCGTGTGCCCTCATCGGGGGACACGCCGGGAGTCGTCGAAGTACCGCCCGCTCGCGAAAGGAGCGAGGCAACCGACGACAAGATCCTCGCGGCCCTCGCCGCAGTGACCGACCGCCTGTCGAAGCTCGAGTCTTCGCAGCGCGTCCGGGACGAAGATGAGAGGATGCTTGGAGCTGTCGAGAGCGGCATGTTTGCATCCAAGCTTGGAGCGAACATGCGTGGACGCCCCATGACCATCGACGCGCTTAAGTCGCTGGAGGAGAAACCAGCAGCACATCGCGCGCGGGAGCGCTGGCCAGAAAACGGTGAGTCGATGTTCGCCTCTCTCGCACCGCCGCGTGGACAGCCGTCAGCCCAGCATCGCATGCCGGAACGATCGGCCGAGCCCATGGTCGCGCCGCGTCAAGAAGCTATGCCACCAGCGATCGGACACTACGGAATGCCGAGCGCTAGTCAGAGAAAGCTCAACATTCGCAAGTTCGATGGGACGGAGCTTTACAAAGGGCTTGGGAGCGGGTTCTTTGACTGGGGACGCACCTTCATGCGCGCTGTGAGCCTCGCTGAGGCGTCTTGCGGTTTCTCCTGGACGGAGGACGTGAAGGTGGACCTACTCGGGCATTTCTTGGCTGGTACGGCGGAGCGCTACTACCACAAACAGGTCGACACTTGGTGGGTGCAGCAGCCAAGACTCGAGCACGTCATGGAGCAGCTGCACCTAACGTTCAAGACGACCATCACGGCGAGTCAGGCCATGAAGCTATTCATGACAAGGAAAGAAGCGAGACGCACCTGGGCTGAGCACTTTCTTTACATGGTGGCTGTCAGCGACGCGCGCGGTGGCGCCGACTCGCTTGTGCTCGACAACATCGTCCATCATGCGTCGCCAGACCTGATGAATGTCATGCGCGCTAAGTACGATCCAACGCGGTCCGACTACCTGCGCCACGCTGAGGAGTTGGCGCACTTTGCGCAGTCTATCGAGCTCGGCAGTGGCGCGGTTGGTCGCGAGGTCGTTGCGGCGCATGTTGAGACGAAGCGTCAAGACACGCGAACGTGTTTCCGATGCGGGAGGACGGGGCACGTCGTTTCCGAATGCAAGGCAAGAGTTGTGTTTGATGATGAAACGACAAACACGAGTGTCAGCGGCGATATGGTACTTGCGCTCATGGAGAAAGGGTCAGCGGCTCGCACGAAAGAAGCCAAAAGCAAGAAGAAAAAGAAACCGCGAGGCAAAGCGGTTCGTGCGAATAAAGTGCGAGCTGCGAACAACGCGGGCGGATTCGTGCTAGCTGCAAATGATGCGATTGGCATCGATCGAGGCGACTGGATACTTGACAGTGGCGCGAGCAGGCACCTCGTGAACGATGAGTCGCTGCTGATCGACTCGACCGCCTGCATCTACGAGATCGCCATGGCAGATGGGGAGTCACTGCGGCTGACGCGTGTCGGGAGTGTGCGCCTTGAGGTCCTCGCGCGCGGTGTGAAGGTGACTGTGACTCTGACAGAAGTCTATCTTGCTCTACGTCTGGCGAAGAACATCGTCTCGTACGGGAAGCTGGAGAGCAAAGGGTTTGCCCTCGTGTACGATGGCAACAAACGAGCGCTAGCGCGGCGCAGCGACGGTACAGTCGTGTTCGACGTAGCGATTGACAGTAACGTGTTATACGTTAAGACGACAGCGACACGCGAGAGGCACAGAGCTGGAGATGCGATCGTGGCTGCGCTCGAAGCGCGCGCGATGGATGGTGATGCGGATGACATGCACGAAGCCTCGCTGCTGCACTGGCACCAGAGACTTGGCCACCTCGCGTTCGATACGATCGAGCGTATGGCGCGAGATCCGTCATCGGGTATTCGATTGACCAGCAACAAGCGCATGGCATGCGTATCATGCCTCGAGGGCAAACAGACGCGCAACACGCAGTCACAACAAGACAGCGGCACCAACTCGCCAATCGACAGGATCGGCGGCGTCATCTGCTCGGACCTTAAGGGTCCCATGACGCCGCAGGATCGCCTCGGCAATCGATATATGGTGAACTTTATCGACCATAAATCGACCTATTGTCGAGTATTCCTTGCGCGCACGAAAGACGCGGCGGCGAAGCAGTTTGAAGCCTTCCTCGTCCACTTTGAGAAGCTCTTCGGCTTCAAGGTCCACGTTCTGCGGACGGACGGAGGAGGCGAGTATGCAAACGTCGACTTGTTCTGTAAACGCACGGGTGTCGCACGCCAAGTTTCGGAAGCTCGCAACCAGGCATCGAATGGCAAGGCAGAGAGGATGCACCGCACGGTGCTAAACCTCGCACGCAGCATGATGTTCGCGAGCGCGCTACCGTTGCAGTTCTGGGGCGACGCGGTGCAGTACGCCGTCCACATCTTGAACCGCAGCCCGACGCGAGCCAATGCAAAGAGAGCGTCGCCTATCGAGGTGCTGACGGGTAAGTCGCCGGATCTGCGCAGCGTCGTCGTCTTTGGGTCGTCGTGTAGCGTCTACCGGGACCCGCGCAAGAGCTCGCTACAGCGGCGCTCTCAGACTGGCATCATCGTGGGCGTCAGCGAGGAGACAAAGGGGTACAAGGTTCTTCTCCAGCGAGAGAACAAGGTGGTTGTAACACAACATGTGAAGAATATCTCCACGCTCTCGGATGCGCAGAACGCACAACTGCAGCGTGCGCTGGAAGTTGGCGATCGAGCCGATGGAGAGGCTGTAGTGGCGACCCGTGATGACAATATACGAGCGCGAGATTATCGCGGTGCTCACGAGAAGAGTAAGAAGCCGTGGTCACGACAAGCGCACGGTACACGAAGCGCATCAAAGCGCAAGCAAGCAGTTACGCGCCAGGAGGAGAGATCTGCAAGCGACGAGGTGGTCAACGCAGCCTTCGAGCGCGACCCATGCAACTATGGCGAGGCCATGCGGAGCTCTAAGCGCGCGGAGTGGCAGACGGCGATGCAAGAAGAGATCGCCGCTCTGGAGAGCAACGATGTGTGGCGCGTGACGAAGCGTAGCCCGGGCGTGAACGCTCTTCACTCCAAGTGGGTCTTCAAGACCAAGACAGGGGCCGATGGAGAGCTCGAGCGATATAAGGCGAGGCTTGTCGCATGTGGCAATGAGCAAGTGCTCGGCGTCGATTACAACCTGGCCTTTGCCGCGGTGATGGACATCTCGACGGCAAAGGTAGTGCTGGCGCTCGCAGCAACCTGGGGCGTGCCGGCCAAGCATGGAGACATCCCGAACGCGTACGTGCGTGCCGAGAAGGAAGCACATCTCGACATCTGCTTGCAGGTGCCACGCGGTATGACTGTGTCAGAGAGCACTCTGCGCAATGTTGGCGCTATGCATCCAGGCGAGGTCGTCTTGGAGCTGCGGAGAAGCCTTTACGGGCTGAAGCAAGCCGGGCGCCTCTGGAGCCAGTTGCTCCATGCGCGACTCAGCGATGCGGGGTACGTGCGCTGCGTGTCAGACATGTGTCTGTACCACAAGCGCGACGGCGAAGAGCTGGTCGTAGTTGGCGTCTACGTCGATGATTTGCTGGCGAAGGGAACGAGCGTCGCGGCAGTCGAGAGCTTCTTCGCGAGCCTGGCGTCGCTGTCAATCAAGGATCTCGGCCATGTCCACAAGTTCCTGGGAATGCGAGTGGAACTCGGGAGCGACGGCGCGTACCGCATCGACCAGGAGGAGGCCATCAAGGATCTACTGCGTGCTCATGGGATGTGCGATGCGAATCCGACGAAGACGCCGATTGGAGGTGACTGCTACGAGGTCGTAGGCGACGACGCCGCGCTTCTTGGAACAACGAGCACGGGCGGTGGTGCAACCATCAACGCGTTCCAGTCCCTCGTCGGGAGCCTGCTGTGGGTCGCACGGTGCTCAAGGCCTGACATTGCCTTTGCAGTGCATAAAGCAACTAGGCAGACACATGCGCCGCGGGTACTCGACTGGAAGCTCGCCAAGCGTGTTGCTCGGTACCTAAAGGGGACAGCGATGCTCAAGCTCGAGATGGCGCCAGAGCGAACGAGCCGAGACGCGCTGCGTCTCGAAGCCTATAGCGATGCCGACTTCGCGGCTGACAAAGCGGACCGGAAGTCACTAACTGGAGGCGTCGTGCTTCTAAATGGGATGGCGGTGTCATGGACCGCGAAGAAACAGGGCGGAGTGAGTCTCTCGACGATGGAGGCCGAATTCGTCGCGGCGTCGGAGGTTGCGCGCGAGCTCATTGGCTTGCACCAGATGCTCGGAGAAGTGGGCATGGCGCCGGTTGTCCCTATGCTGATGCACGTGGACAATCAGGCAGCCATCAGTCAGATCGAAGGCGAAGCCTCGTCGATCAAGGCCAAGCACATCGACGTGCGGCACAAGTATCTGCGCGACCTCGCTCGTCGTGGGATCATCACGGCGCAGCACGTTCGATCCGAACTGATGATAGCGGATCTGATGACGAAGGCCGTCGATGCAAACAAGCTGGCGGCGCTGCGTAGCCTGATGCGGCTCGAGTAAGAGCGTGATGCGTATGAAGAGCTGGATGCGCGAGATGGCTGTGTCAGGGTATGGGTGTGATGGAGGCACTCGTGAGGAGCTTCAGGATGAAGGAGATCGAGTATGGAGGAGATGAAGGACAAGGGCGTCTGCAACGTCCAAAAGGGATCGGAGAGGAAGAGAGAGGAAGAGAAGAGAGGAAGAGAGAAAAGAAGGAAGAGACGAAAACGAAAACGCACTCGAGGAGGAGTGTAGGAAAGCAAGGGATTTGTTACCTTGGTGGATTGGAGATTCGGCGCGATGTGTCGATTAGCGTCATTGTTTAGATAGGAAGGCAGAGCGGCTGCGTAGCAAAATGGGTGGTGTGGATGGCTTTGGAAAAGTGTCAGGTAGAAGAGAAGACATAAAATGTGAATACAGAATCTAATCGTCTTTCTACTGCGCATACTACTTCCCACACAAGCATGTTCTGGTTTTCAGAGAGTTGACATTTTGTTTTTTGCGAAGTGGCTACTCAGTACACTAAAGCTAGGTAGATCTCTCCCCTGTTGGACCCAATGCATCATGTCTTGCGCTCCCGAAGATCCATCTCAGGTGGTGGCTATGGGGTGTGGCCCGTTACATGTGCTTACAATCCAACACTCCTTCCCAGCACCTGAGATGGGTCCGGATAATGTGGCCATGGTCTGGATGGGACGTCGCGCGAGTCAAGGATGACCCAACTACGTCAACTTGATCAAGTCCCGCAGCTCCTTCATGCGCGGCGCCGGGAGCGATGTCCCCCTTCATCTTCTGCGTGCAGAGATATTCGGATTGTAGAAGGCGCTAAAATTGGCCATCCCGCATAAACTTGAGTTTCACGTCGACGTGCTTCGCCTGCACGCCGCTACTTTTATTGGCCACTTGCTCGATAGCGGCTTGATTATTCATGGCCATTGTCATCGGCAGAAGCACAGCAAGTCCAATGTCCTCGATTAGTCAGCGTACTCACAGAATCTCCTTCGCACCCGAGGCTGCTTGTAACGGGGTGAATCGTTACATAACAATTTATAAGAAATTGTAAATAGAATATAACTATAAGAGTTATATTCTCAGAATATTGTCATAAGGACAAATATTCTGTAGCACTTACGAGTAGTTCCTGATTGGTTGATATAGGCCATTATATCAACCAACGAAGACGCGCCACGACAGACGCACGCAATGAGTGGTGAGCAGATAACTGATTTACACATTTGTATTTAGACATAGTTAGATGAAGATAAATAGTGATTTATTGCAGACATTAACTATTATAAATACAGTTCTACTTTTTACTTTAACCAAGTACTCGCTTCTTCTTACCGTCTTCCTCTGCACGTACGAGTGTACGTGAAGTTACGAGGCACCGCCTTATTCTGTCATCAGAAAAAGTAGCTTGTACTGTTACCAGTACAAGCTTCAGGGTGCCCCGTTACACCTGGTAGCACTTCGTAGTCCGTCCAAGGACCGCGTTCACATCCAACATGAATATGTTGGATGATGAAGATGACCAAAGCTTTCACGCTACGCGTGACGGCTACTCCCATTTGAGCGATGTCGAATGGGATGCGGTTGAACGAATGGGTTCAACCATGGGCATCCATGCTGTTAGCGTCATGCTAGAGGCTCTCAATAGAGATGCCCAGCATGGTACTATCGCCAAGTTCATTCAAAATGAACTTGACGCAGAACGCGAGAAAGTAGCCTTGCTTCACCAACAAGGTTCTCAACAAGCAGAGTTGTTGAGAGAACAGGGTGCTCAACAGTTTGAACTGTTGAGACAGCAGCAGGCTGCTGCTGGCGGGTCGATGCACTCGCGTCGACCCGAGACCTTGAAGATTGACATCTCCAAGTATAGGGGAGTCGAAGAGGACTCCCTCTTGAGATGGTTCGTCGAATTGGATGACGCCATAAGGGCGCGTCGCATCGACGACGGAGATATGCAAGTTGCATTTGCCCAGTCAAATCTGGCAGGACGTGCCAAGACTTGGGCACTGGGGCTCAAGTTGCACGACCCATATGCGTTTGGGTCGTTGGAAGTCTTCAAGTCGCGGCTCAGACAAACGTTTGAACCGCCTAGAGCTGAGTTCAGAGCTCGAACCGAACTCTTGAAGCTCAAACAAGGTAAGCGTGATGTGCACGCTTACGCGCAACATATACGATATCTCACGAGTTGCATAAGTTCCAACCCGGTTGATGAACACACGTTGGTTTCGGTGTTCATGCAGGGTCTTGCGGATGGTCCCGTCAAGACTCACCTGTTCCGACTTGAACTAGATTCACTAGAACAAGCCATTTCCATTGCGGAAACAGGAAGACTTCAGGCTGAGACAGGCCCGCGCCAGATCGACATCATATTGTCAACCGAGACGATATGACAGCGGAGGTCCAGAGCCGATGGAACTCTGTTATGTAGAGAGCGAGAAGGCTCGCTCTACAGGCTACAAGAAGTTGCAGAGATGCAACAGATGTTAAAAGACAGGACACTACGCTTACGAGTGTAGTGCCCCTCGTCCAGTGTCTCGCGACACTGGGCGTAGTGACCGTCCACCCATGAGAAAGGGGCAGGGACGAGGGTCCGCAGTTGGTGCAAAGACGCAACAACGGGATGGACCGTCAAAAAATGGACAGTATCAGTAGGTGCGGAGCACCCTACTGGTCTAGCAACGTCAAGAGAATTTGTAGGCCTCTTGATGAAGGTTGCTCCCAACACACAAACGTTGTGCGTTGCTGCTCTAGGTAATGAGGTCTCACTCATTACCTTGAAACTCGAAGTGACGAATAAGTTGTCCCTTCGAGCTCTAGTCGATTGTGGGGCGTCCAACAATTTTGTGCGACGCCAATCGCTAGAAGATGGTCACTTTAAGTTCAGTGAATGTGACACACCTCCTACGAGGATGACGGTACGTCTTGCGACAGGCGCATCCGTAACCGTCATGAAGCGTATAGTGAAGATCCACTATACGCTAGAAGATACCCAATATGACGATGACTTTATCGTATTGGATTTGGATGACAAATTTGATGTCATCCTTGGAATACCGTGGCTCAGAAGGTACGAACCACGGGTAAACTGGCAACATCGAACAGTAACGATGCCTGCCGCTTGTTCATCAGATAGCCATCTAATGAACGTTTTGGAGCGTCCACAAGCGTGTGGATGTACTACGAGTGAGTGCGATGGCCTCACTTGTGGTACGGTCGTTAGTACGACTGCACGAAACCTTAGTGTAACAAACGGTTACACTTCGGAGCAAAGTTCCGGCGGCTGTGAGGAAACACAGGCTGCGCCGAAGGTCCACCACTCGAATAAGTCGAGTGGACCGGGACAAAGATGTATCCCTAGAGGGGAACATCTAGAAGAGAAACAATCGATCGCTCAGGTTAAGCGAAACAATAATTCTAGATCGACTGGAGAGTCTTTCGTAGAGGATCTCGCTGTGGTTGCGCAACCCCAGCTAGAGGAAGTAAAGGGAATAAGTCCCAAGATTACAAATACGGCGGAAATAAGTTCCCCGAAACCCGCGGGAATAAGTCCCCGGGAAGCCGAAGGAATAAGTCCTTCGAGGCATGAGGGAATAAGTCCCCAGGAAATGACAGAGACATTGAATGTCATAGTCAATAACGGATCAAGTGTAGGCGCTTATACACTTGATCTGATTGCGCCTCCGAAGTTAACTTCGGAGATCACTCAGTTGCCAACGCTCGAACATAAAAGGTTCTTGCGTGATCTGCGTAGTGGCAAAGTCAAGCAGATCTGCATACTCGTCGCTGACGACGAGTGTGTAACCGACATAAGGTCAGCAACAGTGTTCACTGAGAACGAGAGAGTTCTCAGTAGTTCATCTATGGACGAGAGTGTCCTAGATGAAAAGACACGAATTGAGCGATATGACTCTCAATCATGGGAATCGCTCAAGACAAATCCTCTCTATGAAGATTTGGTTGAATTCAAGGATGCATTCCCTGAAACTGTTCCGTGCGAATTACCGAAAGATAAAGGTATTCGACACGAGGTCGAGCTTAAACCAGGCTCGAAGTACTGTGTCATGAAGCAGCGGCCACTGCCTCGTGAACAAGTACTTGCGATCGACAAGTTCTTTGCCGATCGTTTAGCTGCGGGCCATGTGAGGGAATCAACTTCCCCACATAGCTCTCCGACCTTCTGTGTGCGAAAAGCAACAGGAGGGTGGCGGATAGTGCACGCGTTCAACAAATTGAACGCTGCAACGGTACCGGCTCAGACGCCGATACCGAGGAAGGACGTAATCATTGATGGTATGTCAAAGAGTACCATCTTTTCGTCCATGGAGATTGATGGATGACTTCTATCAAATCCTTATGCGAGAACGGGATATACCCTATACCGCAGTTAGCACGCCTAGCGGCATGCTCTGGGAATGGCTAGTAATGCCACAAGGGCTCAGTAATGCCCCTGCCACGTTCAACAGATGTGTATCACATCTGTTGAGACCAGTACGAGAATTCGCGCCGAGTTATTTCGATGACGTATTCATCCATAGTCGAGCTATGGATGGAAAGTCGGAAGTTGAGGTTCACAGGTACCACGTCCGACAAGTTCTTACAATCATGCGAAAGCATCAATTGTATGCAAACCTCAAGAAGTGTATATTTGCAGCAAGCGAAATACCACTTCTTGGGTGCATCGTTGGTAAGAACGGTGTACGTCCTGATACCGAAAAGATCAAGGCGATCACCGACTGGCCTGTGCCGGTTGATGTCAAAGGTCTTCGAAAATTCCTTGGGCTAGCGGCGTATTTGCATAAGTATTCACGCAATTACGCCGAGATGACTGTGCACCTCTCTCGTTTGTTGAAAAAGAACGAGAGGTGGTTATGGAACGCTGAATGTCAACGCTCCTTTGAGGGTATCAAGCAGAGCTTGATACAATCCCCAGTCCTAGCAATAGCCGATCAGTACAGGCCATTTCATGTGGTCTGTGATGCCAGCGATTTCGCAATCGGCTGTGCATTAATGCAGTACGATCTTGAAGGCGTTGAACGCGTCGTCTGCTATCAGTCGCGTCAGCTGCAACCAGCTGAGCGGAACTATTCAGTGCATGACAAGGAACTCCTTGCCATGAAGTATGCACTCGCGAAGTTCAGAGTCTATCTATTAGGAGATAGACCCTTCGTGGTTTACACGGACCATGCGTCATTACGCACGGCAGTGAACAGCCCGCACCTTTCACAACGAATGGCGCGGTGGTTGTCATTCTTTGCAGAATACAACTTTACGGTCGAGTACAAACCAGGACGCCTTAATGTCGTTGCTGATGCACTCTCACGTCGTCCCGACTTTGAACCAGTCGCGAAACCCAACAGTGAGACAGTCACTGTTGTGGTTATGACGTCCTCAGTCCCATCTAAAACGTTGCATGATGATGTGAGGTGGGCGTATACCCAAGATGGTGAGATTGTGAAGTTGTTGACACATCTCTCACAGCCATCTCGAGAATCGTTGAAACGATTGTCGCCTGCGTATCGATCTGCATCAGATCGATATACTACTCGCAACGGGTTACTGTATTATACAGCCGTTCCTGGTGACACACCGCGTGTTGTCATCCCAGATGATACTGATCTGCATTTGCGGATCATTTTCGAGAATTACGATGCTCCTATAGGAGGACATCGTGGCAGGGAGAAGACATATCTCACGGTGAGTCGAGACTTTTACTGGCCCCGCCAGTATCAGTTTGTGCGGAAGTATGTTCGCGCATGCGAAGTCTGTCAACGAGTGAAGTCAAGTCCTTCACTGCGTGCACCTTTACAGCCTCTACCGGTTCCGGCTGAGTGCTGGGAATCCATCTCAATGGATTTCGTCTTCGGGTTACCCAAAGACGCACGCGGGAATACGCGTATTCTCGCATTTGTTGACAGATTCAGCAAAATGGTACACCTTGTAGCTGTACCCGAGCCAATCACTGCAAGTGGCTGTGCTTGTGTCTTTATTGACACCATCTTCTGACTTCATGGGTTGCCCCGTGAACTCGTATCAGACAGAGATCCACGATTCACTGCTGATTTCTGGCGTTCCGTGTTCAAATCACTCGGAACGCGCTTGAAGATGTCGACATCTGATCATCCAGAGTCAGATGGTCAGACGGAACGTGCCAACCGTGTCCTTGAAGAGATACTTCGATGATACGTACACTCCTTTAAGAGTTGGAGTGAGTTCTTGCCAATGGTAGAGTTTGCCATTAACAACTCGGTGCATGCGTCCACGACACATACACCGTTTTACGTGAATGGCTTACGCCATCCGCGTGTACCCACCTTACTAGAGTGTAACTCTGGTTTAAGGGGGGAGGGACTCGCGCGAGCAAAAACCGAATTGGTTCACGCTCATCACGCTCTGACGAAGAGGTCGTTGCGTTTGATGCCGATACCGATTACATCGATATCGAAGAAGATGATGCCAGTGAGAATGCGGAAGCCCTCACTGAAAAAAAGGATTGATGTTGCTGCAGTGCGCTCACAGCATACTGAAGCTAACGAGTCATCAGATGAGTCATACTGGCTCGTGAAACGGTAGTCCGTTTTGTTCAAGACCCCATCGCCGAAGCGGTGGAAAAGCAAAAGCAAAACGCTGACAAGAATGGAAGGGCAAACACTCTTTTATTTAATAAAGGTGACTTAGTCCTACTGTATACGGTTAATCTACCAAAGCATGTAGTGACTAACGTGGGTAGTAGTAAACTTCTACCCAAGTACATCGGCCCATTTCGTGTACTGCACCGCCTAGGCAATGCATACACGATCGAGTTACCACGTAAGATGCGTACGCATCCCACGTTTTACGCTGGTCGGCTTAAGCCGTACCATCAGTACGCTGTTTCTTCCGATGAAGAACGCTCTTGCGCTCAAGCATCTCACAGGCGCTTGGGCTCCCGATGGTGGATATCGACAAGGGTCTGAAGAGCAGTTATCTCATCCCGAGACCGGTCAATATCCCCACGAGCTACCCTTAGCTCGTCACGCAGAGACGTCGGAGCTCTCTTGTTCTCAAGCTGAGCAAAGGCAAACTCAGCTCGATGCTTCGAGACAGCGTATGCCAGTTGGAGACGCCTGTCCCGCTCATGTTCGATATCGCCGTGTAACCCTTGCGTTACGCGATCAAAGAAGCTCTCGGGAACACACGGATCCCCACGATCGTGTGGAGAGCGTCTTTCCTCCTCCTCCTCCTCCATTAGAGGACTCTCGTGGTGGCCAGCGCTATCTAGCTGAGCAGCTGTTGAACCACCGCGACGTGAACGGACGTCGGACGAGTTATCTCGTCCGGTGGCGCGGCTATCCCCCGTCCTAAGATTCTTGGGAGCCCCGCTCCCAACTGGTGGTTGACGTACTGGGTCTGGTTGAGCAGTACGACGTGGCACATCCTGTGCCGCAGAAGGACCGCCGGAGAAAGTCTTCCCGGTACGGTCGTAAAGGGACTTCAGGCTGTCAATCCCTTCGTACATCTCAGTAGAGACACGTACGCGCCACCACGGGCTGGTAAGGAGGTAAGCCTCCTTAGGTGCTCGTGCAGAGTTGTTCACACAACATGGGCACGAGTCTCCCCAAGAGAGGCAGGGTAATCCTTTCTCCCTTGACAGACGATGCAGCTTGTAGCGTGCACCTGTCGGGGTTCGCTTTTCAAACTTATCACGAGCTTTGATAAGTTTGTCGATCAAAGCGTCACGACCTACATCCTCGAGGTTATGGATGTAGGCGTTCCACACTTGAAGCAGTGAGGGACCATCACGTTTGTGATTCCCACTGTACCATCGATGTCTAAAGAAAGCATCGATGAAGAATTCATGTTCAGCGCGATAGTTTTTCGCGCTGGGGTCAAGGTGATGGATCCTTGACGAATCGAACAATCGTGTTCGATAACGATCACTCGTCGTCGCCGACAAGTGATCCATGACGGATTTTGGAGGCATCCATGCCTTCTTCTCAGGAGCGAGACGCAACACATTGCGGTCCCGCTCTTCCTGCGACGTGCCGACAGAAGTACTGGCACCTCGCTGTGAAGTGGTGTCCATAGGAGAACCGACACCACTGTTAGCGCCCGAGTCTTGCGACCTCGAGCGCCTTCGCTTCGGCGATGGTTCATCGGATTCATCAGCTGAACCAAAGATGCTTCGACGCAAAGCATCGTCCATGCCACGCTTTGCAGGCGGCTTAGATTCAATCGCCGTCGATACGGATCCGTCTTCCGTATCAGGAGAGTACGAGACACCGAGCTCGTACTCTGTGAAGACACGAGTGTCTTCATGACCAGCGCCTGCATCACCAAGTGACACAGGCTGGGTCGCTTTAGCAACCGATGAGACATCAGTTGCTGTGGTTTCTGCTTCGGCGTCCGCACAGAGACGTGAAGACGCGCTCTCGGCGGCCTTGCTCGCGCATCGCATGGGCTTGTTTACCATGCGATGAAATGTTGGAAAGTGGACGCGGACCAACAAGTGCAAACCCTGTCCCAAATGATTTGGGACGAGTATCCATTTAGTCAATCAGTCACTAAAGTGACTGATGGTTAAGGGGGGTGATGTAACGGGGTGAATCGTTACATAACAATTTATAAGAAATTGTTAATAGAATATAACTATAAGAGTTATATTCTCAGAATATTGTCATAAGGACAAATATTCTGTAGCACTTACGAGTAGTTCCTGATTGGTTGATATAGGCCATTATATCAACCAACGAAGACGCGCCACGACAGACGCACGCAATGAGTGGTGAGCAGATAGTTGATTTACACATTTGTATTTAGACATAGTTAGATGAAGATAAATAGTGATTTATTGCAGAAATTAACTATTATAAATACAGTTCTACTTTTTACTCTAACCAAGTACTCGCTTCTTCTTACCGTCTTCCTCTGCCCGTACCAGTGTACGTGAAGTTACGAAGCACCGCCTTATTCTGTCATCAGAATAAGTAGCTTGTACTGTCACCAGTACAAGCTTCAGGGTGCCCCGTTACACTGCTGCAACAACTCAGCCTCGGCGGTAGACAGAGCGACTGCCCCATGTTTTTAAGTCTTCCAACCAATCAGCATCCCATTCACCTTGGTCATAATTCCGCTGACTGACTTGCGATCCTCTTATCCGCCGGCTTAGTCAGCATCCGTCACGCTCTCCACTAGTAAGGCGTGATCATCATTGAGAAGTGTTTGCAGCCAAAGTTGAAGATGTGGTGTACCAGCGAGGTGCTGTACCGGGGTAGCCCGTTACAAGATATTGACACCAAACGGTGTCAATAGGGAGATTGTCTAGCGTGGCAATCTCCTGCCTATTTTACCCAAGATAGGT